AAGGCAGCCCCCCCCCCCCTACATCAAATGTGCCAACTCCACCATCCCCTTTCTTGTATAACTAAAATCGTAGTTTAACAGCATCAACTAATCTAAAATAAGAAAACGTCACCTGTGATCTCAATTTCATCTCCGGGTTTGCAACGATCGCAGAGATCTCCTGTGAGGATCGAATCCTTAGATCTTGGCAGACGACCGGCTGAGATTTTCCCTGGTGCCTCCTGAAAACCAACAGTTTTAATCATGCTATTTAAATTTGACTTAACCAGTATTTTAAGAAGACACGAGATCTGAGAGATTGAAGTTTGCAGCAGTTTATTGGTTTTCCTCCGCTGGGAATCCACAATTTTGATTCAATACTAATTACTCCTGCAGAGGGATGTTTTTTATCATTAAAGACGCTAATTAATCCATCAGAGGGTTGGTAATTAACTCTCAAGACAATAATTACTCCAGCAGAGGGATATTTTTTATCATTAAAGACGCTAATTGATCCATCAGAGGGATGGTAATTAACTCTCAGGACAATAATTACTCCAGCAGAGGGATGTTTTTAATCATTAAAGACGCTAAGTAATCCATCAGAGGGATGGTAATTAACACTCTAAGACACTCATTACTCCATCGAAGGGATGGTTAATGGTTATTAACAAGACACTAATTACTCCAGCGGCGGGAAGGTTATTCAGTTTTAAGTTTCCTGAGTGTTAATTACCATCCCTCCAATGGAGTCATTAGTGTCTTCAGTGTTAGCTACCAACTCCCCGGTGTAGTAATAAGTGTCCGGGAGTGTTAAATGCAATCCCTCCGCTGAACTGGAGTAATAGTGCCCTGAGTGTTTATTAGGTGGAATTTAAGTTTCTGAGAGTTAATTACCATGCCTACGCTAGAGTAATTAGTGTCCTAAGTGTTTATTATCATCCTTCCGCTTGAGTAATTAGTGTCCTTGGTATTAATTAGGTTGAAAAATAAGGGTCCTGGGTGTTAATTACCTTCCCAGGGGTGGAGTAATTACTGTCCAAGTGTTAATTACCATCCTTCCGATGGAGTCATTAGTGTCTTGTGTAATAAGACACTATTTACTTCATCGAAATGGTAATCGAGTGATAATTAACATCTCTCCGCTGAAGTAATTAGTGTCCTGAGTGTTAATTACCATCCCTACGGTGGAGTAATTAGTGTCGAGTGTTAATTGCAATCCCTCAATGGAGTAATTATGCATTCCCTCCGCTGAAAATAATTTCCCTCCGGTGGTCTCCGCTCCAGCGGAGGCCACCAAATATGATGATGAAAACTTCAATCTCTCTTCAGATCTAACAGGTTTGTGATGCAAAATGGTGTGAAACAAATTAAACAATTATAAAAATTAACTACATTTTTTGAGAAAAAACATTTCTGCCGGTTGAGGTTGTAGCTGATTATTTGTCATCGATCAAATAAAAACTACGTACCAAATTCATGACTGGAAATGTTGCCTTTTAATTTCGAAATTAAAATTTCATTAAAAAATCTTGAAAAATTTCGATTTCTTGATTTTTATAAAAACCGATTTATTACTTCTTTTTGCATTAAGTAGGCAATCACAGTTCAATTACAGCTTCGAATTTTTGCTAAAACATGTCTTCTGACTGTTATTAAAAATTCAAAAAATGGTGGGACCCTGCCATTTACGGTTAAAAAAGCCGACCAAAAAAACAGAAAAAGCTTGCTTAAGCGTTGAAACTAAAGTTAAGTTTGATTTTTAACCTGTAGATGAACTTGATTTCTACAATTTATTTAAAAATAAATTTAATCTTTATACCCTAGGTGGCATTTTCTGAAAACAAACTGAGATTATAACTCAGTAGACTGCATATTAGCATTCCAAAGAAAAATTTCCTGTGTTTTGACTTAAAACCTTTTAGTCCATTTTCAGCAGTGGTCGGCTTTTTTAACCGTTAATGGCAGGGTCCCAACATTTTTTGAATTTTTAATAACGGTCATAAGACATGTTTTAGTTAAAAATAGAAGAGTTAATTGAACTGTTATTGCCTAATTAATGCAGAAAGAAGTAATAAATCGGTAAAAAAAAGTTCAAGAAAATCAACATTTCAGTTTTTTTGGTTGAAATTTTAATTTCGAGAGAAAAAGGCAACCTTTTCCAGTCATGAATTTGGTTCGTAGCTTTTTATTTGATCGATGACAAATTTAAGCTACAAACTCGCCAAGCAGAAATGTTTTGTGAAAATTGTGCAAAATTTTGCAACTTTCTGGCGACCTTGCATCTCTGTACCAAAAGTGACCCTAAAAATGAACCCCCCTAGTGTGAATCATATCTACCTGAATAGTAATTCTCTGATAGTTCTTGTAAAGGGACACTTCCTGGTTTATAGCAAAGGGACCTTGAGACTGACATTCAGGACATGTTCCAGGATTCACCTCTTTCTCCTGGAAAATAAGCAATATCAATAATATGTTCCAGGATTCACCTCTTTCTCCTGGAAAATAAGCAATATTAATAATATGTTCCAGGATTCACCTCTTTCTCCTGGAAAATAAGCAATATTAACAATATGTTCCAGGATTCACCTCTTTCTCCAAGAAAATAAGCAATATTAATAATATGCTCCAGGATTCACCTCTTTCTCCTGGAAAATAAGCAATATTAATAATATGTTCCAGGATTCACCTCTTTCTCCTGGAAAATAAGAAATATTAATAATATGTTCCAGGATTCACCTCTTTCTCCTGAAAAAAAAAGCAATATCAATAATTTGGAGAAACATGTTTGATAAAAAATCAAGTCCCCTAATAAGGGAAGCAAATTAGTGAGAGAAATTGTCCTCATTATTGGTCACAGAGGATTAAAGATATTCTAATTTCACAAAATAAAACGAAAATCTCACCGCGACAATTTATGGTCATAAATACAAATATTGGTTCAACTTATTTATTATTTCATCCTAAAAAAGAGATAAATAGATTTGATTCTGGAGCAATTTGACAACAAGAGAACTAAAAAATGCGCTGAATTTATGTTAAAGCCTAAAAGTTCTAAAAGCTTATGAGTTTCATAAAAACAACTCTGAATGAAAAATTTAAATTTCCCGGGGAAAATATCAACCAATCAGATAACGGGAATTACGGAGATAACAGATCAACAGAGATTATACATCAGCTGTTTCGTAATTTCCCTTTCTTACAATCTGCAGTGCGAAAAATAACAAATAAATTTCGTAATAGCTACACGATTTATTCCAGATATACAAAAAATATTTATAATCTTGATAAAATCATCTTCATGCATTGAAATATCGTAAAATTGAATGCGCGTATTTTCGGGTTTTTAATTGAACTCGCCGAAATTGACGATTTAAATATTTAAGCTGTAGTTGAAAATTCAGGTATAAATTAAGTCAGAAGTGAAGCTGGGAACTACATATTTTAGTCGTAACCAGGTGCACTGCTTTGCAGACAGGTTTCTTATTACACACGCACTCTTTTGGTGCAGACACACAACATGACTACAGTCAAGGAAGGTACCGAAAAATGTCGTCAATCATAATTAAGTTTGATAGTTCATTGTAAACTTAAATCAAATTATTTTTTGCATGAAATTTGGCTCATAGTGTTGACTAATATATTAATATATTACGTGTATATTAAACATATTTTCAAGTAAACAATTAACAATAAACAAACTACAAATCCCGAGATACTTTTGTACTGTATACACTGACAGCATACCTTTCGGTTCCTTATTAAACACGCACACTTTTGGTGCAAGCACAAACGCATGACGTTTCCGCCCCCTGGTTTTAAGTAAAACGTTTATGTACAATCTTTTTACATTTCCCTCTCAGAGCATCGAGTGGAGGGATTGTTGAAAATGTAAACCCAAGAAATTAAAATGTAATTACCTGATTCTGGTAGAAAGGTCCTAGAATATATCCACACTTGGTGCAGTCAAACTTCACCATATATAGCTGGGGGAGAACAGGGGTAGTAGCCGATACTACACCATTTGTCCGGATTAACTATAAAAAGAAAAAATTAAATGTTGGTTATATTCGAATCAAAAATTTTCCCTAAAAACTTTTAGGAGAAAAAAAAGCCAACGTAAGTTTTATCCTTATTCCTCAAGTTTTATGTGATTAGTAAATTAAATAGTATATGAGTAAGTACTTGGGATGTAATTTTGCTTTCTATTTCACTCTGAATTCGGAAAAAACATCTCAGTATTCTCTATATACTTTCCCCTGCTATTATTTAAATAATTACCAGGTTGAGATGGCGTTGCCGAAGCTGTCTCAGTTCATCGATAAGCGGAAGCTCCGATATTCTCACGTGAATTTCTTTGGTGATCCGGTCATAGTAAGGATACAGGCTCATCACTACTTCCTGAATATAATATCCGGTAGTAGTACAGCTTAAAGCTAACATACATCCTCAGTTCGAAACTTCAGTGTTTATATTGAAAGCTTGATTTCAATAACCCTTGTGGGCACTTTATAATGCGAAGATCAATGCTTGATCCACCGATGAAAGGTATCCCTGCAGGGTATGACCATCAAGAAATATTGACATGCTAGGAATTAAATTCATTCGTAGATCAATGCTTAATTCCAATCAATCTAACAATTCCGTAAGTGCAGCAGAAAGATATTTCATTCAATTGAAATAATTAAGATAAAAAGCAGAGAACTGTTGAAAAATTTGAGAAGTAAAGTGATCAATTCTCTCACCTTTGCGGCCTCGTCGAAGATCTGCAGCATCTCGGTTGGAGCCTCCGGCAGGAAATATGCGAGGACATAGCAGTTAGCACTCAAAATATTATAATCAACCTAAATATAAATTCATTTAGAATTATTTTCTGACTTGAGATTCGTTACATTTTGATCCTTGTTCCACCTGAAAATATGGATCCGGATCCAGACCAAGGATATTTCTTTTTCGGATACAGAGCTGAAAACTTAAGAATGGGTTATCCTTAATCCCGATCGCTAAATTAATCTGGAGATTAAACACAAGAGGATATCAAGCATTATTTAATCTCGAGATTAAGAAAAAGACTGGATCAAGCATTAATCCCGATATCCATCATTTAAAAGTTTCCAGCTCTGGCCAAAGAAAAAATAAAAAGTTTTAGAATTTCAAAATTTAAAAGTTGGCTTATTTTTGTGCTTTTAACCATATAAAGATTGATTTATAATTATCGCTCATTAGTCGACAACTGAGATTTGTGGGCTAAGATTTTTTAACAGGTTTAAGTTCATAGTAAAATCTCAAATAGACACGAAGAACTTTGACACAACACATTGATAACTTAAATTGGCCAAATACAGGATGTTATTTTAATGAAAACTTGAAATCTAAGGAAGCAAGGCGGATGTGCCCAAAAAACTTAGTTGCTGAAAAAAATAGACCGGGGCCGGTACGAATTTTGTAGACCAATTCCCTTTCCTAGATTGGAATGAAGATAAACTCACCTCAAAGCTGGATTTGTTAGCTGAACACATATCCTGGATAAGACGATGATACAGATTGTTTCCTTTCGCGTCAACATAGGTTCTCAACAAGTTCTTGAACCGGTTTTTTATCTCACGACGAGGAGCAGTCATTACAACCCACTCCCTGTAAAAAAAATTTGGTTAAGCTTAGTATTTATTCTTGATACATCAGAATCCATCGTAATTCGAAAGAAGACATTTGATGGTTCAGGTGTTCATATTTTAAAGAATTGCTCAGAATATTTTTTGCGTTGAGAAAATAAACCACCCTGTAATAATTTTTTTTTCAAACAAGTATTGGTAAAAGATTCCGAGAGAGCAAATATGCTAACCATTGTGTCATATCAAAGCTAAATTAAGTTTCTTTTTTAACTAACAGTGCTAGTTTTTGCGGTTTTCCTTGAAACAAAATAAAATATTTTAATTATGAATAGAACATTTTTATCCAATTTAACAAGGCTTTCCAAAATTTCGCTAAACTTCCGAGCTGCAATATAATCGTCGGGCCCCAGTCCCAACACTTTAAATCCCACGCCAATTTAAGATCAGCCTTCCATGCGTGATCTTGAATCTTCTAAAACTAACCTAACTGGTCTTCCCTTTGTATCTTCCAGGTTCTCTACACTTTCATCTCCTTCATCAAACATTGGCTCATCCTAGATTAAAATTAAATAATTTATACAATATACATAAACAGTAACCCCCCCCCCCCCAATTAAAACTAGATTTATCCGAGTTCATCGAAATTCTCACTGAATTTGGGAAGAATCTATATCAAGCCAAGGAACCATAAACAACAAGTAATATAAATAAAATTATAGATGGTCATTTTAACGAATGGACATTTATAAGAACTCATAAGATCCAGTTTGAAAGTTCACATCTGCAGTTTGTATGAAATGTTTTTGTGGAGGGAGGAGAAAATGATATTTAATTGAATGATTCTTGAGATTAAACCCAGTATTTATTAATTAAACTTACTTCCATGGCGGCCATTTCTGCGGCACGACGACGTTTAACTTTAGTCATTCCTTCGTCATCATCATCATCATCGTCGTAGAGCAATCCTCGTCGCAGTCGTCCTTCTCGTCCCTCCTCACGATCCCGCCGTTTCATGAGAGCTTCAGCTGCCTGCCGGTCCCCTTCAGTCATTGCCTCGTACTCATCGTCATCAAGCATCTCAGGATCAAACCTAAAAACATATATTTTTCAAAACTGCGTTTCATTCAGAATCTGACTTTCCGTGGGTCCTTCTTGACAAACTCATCCCAGATAAATGCGCCCTATAAAAAGGTATTGTATTTTTTTTTTTAAAATAAGCTCACATAAAATTGTCATAAAATAGTTGATCCTAGCGCCCTATTTATGTACATAAACACTGCGTCTTCAATAAAGCGTATTTGACGCGAATCAAAATATGGTATCTCAGGGTTTAAGTTATCTAGACGAAAGTACATTAACTTTTTGCTCTATATACTTCCAAGAATCTAATCCATTATATTTTAGGAAAGCATTTCATATTTTGCCGACTGTTTTAACAACCTTCAAGCGTGCAAAAACACATAAGTCTGGTAAATTAAGATTTCACCTGTCAAGCGCTGGCATCTCTCTATAATCGTTCAGCATATCATCTCCAAACAGATTCTCCCCCTCCTTACATAGAAAAGTTTAATTGCAAATAAATTTTATTTTAATGACACCCAGCTCGCAAGCATGACAACGTCTCCCAATCATAGAATATCGTCCGATTCAGAAGTTACCTTTTCAAAACATTTCCTTTTTGTTTTGAACCAGAACTGCAGAAACCACAATTGAAAATTATCAATTTTTACCGAGAATATGGATATCTATATATGGATATATTTTGGTTGAATTACACTCGCCCAAAAAAATGTTGAAAAACCTCTTATTTTTAAGGAAGGGGGGGGGGGGAGGCAGTTTCTACCTCTTCGTCCTCTTCAATATCGTCCCGACCCTCCTCATCCTCGAAAGCTGGAAGATCAAGTCCGGGAGACGATTCACGATCTAATCCTCGTCGTCCATCACGCCCAACCTAGGATAAACAAAAGATAAATATAATTTAACAAATGAGTTTCTGTGAACATTTTCTAAAAGTGCAAGCAGATGGTAAAATTATTGCATTTTTTACAGTGTACTTGTTCAACTTTTTCAGTGCACTCTTGGCCACGTCAAGAAAATTTGAAGGAATAAAACGCAAAAAGTACACAAGGACATATATTAGATAAAAAAATGTGTTTTTCACCCTGCTGTTCGGAGTCTCAGGTTCCGTATCGGAGAGGTTTGCCGAGGGCGAGGTAGCGATCTCCGACATTTTGGATTATTCACTCTGGAAATAATGAAGATCGGTCAGAACAAGAAAAAAATAGTAGAACAGAATAATTTTACTTTTTAATAATCCACGAAATTCGAAAAATCAATAGTTTCAGTTTTACAAGTGTCTAAAAGATGCACGAGAAAGGAAAAAAGCTTCACATGAGTACAAATGAACCGTTTGTAAAATCCTACATCAAGTCCTGGTTATAATATATATTTATGTAGTTTTGTTAACCAAGATGTAGGATTGGAATTGAAGGATTAACGTGAGTAGCTTCGGCTTCGGCTTCTGGAATTGGACCTAAAAATATTAATAAGATTAAATGTTGTACATAGTATACAAACACATATTTCATTACAGTCCTCAACAATCAACATTATGCATGTCTTATGTTTTTACCCCGCTCAATTAGAGAAAATATTCTTTAGATGTAATCATGTAAGTCTTTCTCTGCAATGCATCAATTATTGAAGTATAAAGAAACCAACTTCTGGGTTCTAACAGTGACGCCGAAAAAGAAATTTAATTTTAAATAGCGATAGAAAAATTTCAATCTGGAAAGTTTTAGGTTCCGACGGAGCCTTTTTGTACAGGGGTGTACATTTTCCCCGAAAAAAATCATTCCCCTTTTATCATTATTTTTAGGGCTTTTGCAAAATTGGGGAAAATAAATGATTTTTTGGTTTAAAGTTACAAAAAGAATGAAAAACTTTCATTTTGATATCCCTTTTTAATTTTTCTTACCCAATTTGTGAAAAAGTAGGAGGTGTAGTTCTAAAAAATATTCACACCTTTTTTAGCTTTAAAAAACGTAGAGGCACAACTGTGTTACCTGCTCCTTCCCCTTCCTCTTGAATCTCCTCTGCCACCTCTGGAAGGGCTCCTAGAATCTCGTCTTCTATCTCGGCTACGACTCCTGCTCCTATCCCGTCTACCTCCACTCCTACAACAATATCAAGAATCAAAATACAAGAAAATAAACAATTTGAGAGAGAGCTTCAAATGAAGTTCGTCATGAAAGGGAAATGAAACGTGATACAAACGTATATTAACGATGGTTAATGAAAGAAAAAGTTTATTTTTCAAGGGAAATAAATTTTAAAAATACATTATTTTCAACGCTCTGGAGAAAACGAAATATCAAGCAAGTATTCCCCCCCCCCGAAAATTTTTCCCAAACAACAAAAACCATAAAATATCTTTGAGAGAGGTTGAAAATCTTGACAGAAAATATGTATAGCCTTCATTTAACTTTATTTTTAAGTTGATCTAGTCCACTTTACTGAAGAATAATGTTATCACGAATTCATTCAGTATTGTTTACTAATTAATAAGGATAATCTTTTTATAGCCCCAACCCCACCCCTTAGTTTATACTCGTTCATAAGGTAAGGAAATTTTTTTTCCTCACCTACTCTGTATGATAAAAATAATGACCTGAACGTGAGCTCTTGACCTCCCCGATTAAGATTGACACTACATCTTGATAAAGTGATAAATTATTAACCTGCTTCTGCTCCTAGAGTAACTCCTCCTCCTTCCTCTCCCCCTGCTCCTGCTCCTACTCCTACTCCTACTCCTACTCCTCCTTCTCCCGTAGTCGTCGTTATGACGGGTAGGACGACCAGGGTCCAGGGTGATACGGAGATCACGTCCGTCGTATGTCCGACCGTTGAGTGAATCAACTGCATCCTCAGCGTCCCGCTTGTCGTAATACCTAGCGATAACTGATATTAGAGGAGAGCGCAGCTATAGAAGTTGGCGAGTTTTCCCACTGAATTTGCAATTATGACCATGCACTATTATGGTAAAGTGCCCCCTCAAAATTGGCAGATGTTAACCCCTGAACTGTCAGATATTTAGTTAAAAATTTGCGGGGTTTGACCCTAAGGAAATTTTTATTTCTAGTAAGGAGAACCCCTGATTTCAAGGGGGGTTTAAAAAATACTCTATGCAAAATTAAGACTTAGGCTTAAAGAAAGAAAGAATAAAGTAAAACAATAGAATGATAAATACAGGGGGGGGGGGTGGGGGGGATATATCGGGAACATCAGATTGGAACGAGTGATTTACCAGGTTTCTCTGATCTAAGTATACTGCTCTGATCTGAGTACACTCGATCTCATCTCAGTACATTTATTTGATTTTCTTAATATCTCTCACAAACAATACTTTGCTATTGGCAGTGTTAGGCTGAACAGCTTATCCTCCCAACCCACACTGCTCTGCCGAATCGCCTTCCGACAATAATAATTTATAAATTCTTTCCATTTCCAGCAAGGTAGTTTACATGGCAGTGTATGAAAGTTTTAAAAGATTTGGAAAAATACCCGAAAACATTAAAGGGCTAAAAATATCTTCATTGAAATAGATCTAAAAAAAATTTATTGCGCTCGTTTCTGATTTGGTTGAGTAAAAATTTCTTCAGGTCTGAGACAGAACAAATTATTCTTTGGCATTCCAAAAAACGGCCGCGTTTTTTATTAAGAGTTAATGGATAATAATAAATTTTGATAATGATATAATACACTTTAGAATGTTTTAACTTAAAATTTGCACCCGCACTTTGTAAGAAGAATTGGAATTGTCAACAATTTACTTTGACATTTTAGGACAGTTGAGTTTTAGAAACTTTCAGATAAATAACAGTCCAATTTTATAATATATATATATAATATAGTTCCCAGCTGTCCTTAAAAATCATTGTAGAATAGAAACAACCCTCGATCTGCGTCTTAACCCTTTACAAAATGCCCTTTATAATTCTGCAAATCTAGTCGATACCGGAGCCAAAAAAAACCTCAAATTCATTCAAAAAAATATATGGTGTCTTTCATTTGTAGGGCTCGGATGATGATTGTGTTGAGTTCGGCCTGAATCAGAGAAGCCTACCTCACGAATGCAAAACCTCTGCTTCTCCCTGTTCCTCTCTCCAGCGGGAAGTAAATATCTCCGATATCTCCGAACTTTTCAAAAAGCGGAGTCATATCCTCGGCAGTAGCGCTAAATTATACAAAATTAGGTAATTGAATAACTACAAAGATTTACCATCCAATAATCGTAGCTTTTGAGAACTGATTTTTCTCCAAGCCTTTCGTACATATGGAAATAAAAAAATATTTTCGGTGATTTTCTCCTCAATATATGAGATTTGTATTTGTTCCAAGAGAGAATAAGAATTGAAAAACAGATCCTGATTAGTATACAATATTACTAATTAACACAACACAAATGAGAAACTTTTATACCGAAGAAAATTAAATTGTAGAACAAAATGCGTTATTACGAGTAAAATAACCTTTTCCCCATTTCAGCGATGTAAAGACGTACAAGATTGGCTTTGCACCGCGAGATCAAAAACGGAATTTTCTAGAAAAAATTGTTTAAATTCTACCTAAATGGAAGGTTTCCGACCCTTAGAGAGGTCATTCTATCAACATCCCGGGGAGGTCGGCGAAATGACATCTTAAATCTGAAACAAAAGTTTCGTTTGAGTTCACAAAATTTCCAGTTGAGTAACTGACGGGAGAGAACAGAAAGTTCTCAAATATTACATTGATCGGAGAGAGTCGGATATGATTTAAAAAGCAATTTTGGGATTACAAATGCAAAAAAATGATTTTAATTGCTGAAACAATGATTTACAAAATGAGGATCATACTGCTTGGGATTGGGATGCTCCGTAGTGGGAACGCTCTAAACACGCTCGAGGAACATTCCAGATCAGGAACGAGAGCGAGAACGGCTTTTGGAGGCAGACCTAGAACAAATATAACAAATTAGAATTTAAAAAGGCATAATCGCCGATAATGCACACGATCAATTTATATTTGATGCCCAATTTCTTAAGGAATTATTGTTTACAAAACTGTAAATTTTCGTGTTTCTCCTTTTTTTGGCTGATCTATTTCTAATAATCTCTCATTCGAAAATAGTTGAGATTTGAGTAGTGCAAAAGTTATCAAATACGTTCTATATCTTGAAGGTATCACTGAGGCTCAGAACAAGTCTAAAAGTCTCCATTTTCTGTACAAACTCTGGATTGACTAACCTGCCGCGTCCTCTGGAGTCATCCCTCTTGCTGCTCCTTGAGTCTCCACCCCGTCCTCCCCTGCTCCTGCTCCTACTCCTGGAACGTGTACGGCTCCTAAAAAATTATATTTTCATAAGAATTTAATAAAAAATTAAGTTATGATATCTAACAATAATTTAAGCTCTAAACTAACTAAATGAGATATTTTAAAGAAACTATATTATTATTCAAATATTCAAATTTGTCCGCGCAAACGATCCAATTTTGTTTTCTCATGATTTTGACAATGTATTTTAGTTATTTACGAAACAACGACAGGATTTCTTGAAAGCAAAAGGGGTTGCATAATGAATATCTATTTTATGATCAATTTCATTGCAGCTTAAAACATTTGTCTTTGTTAAGGTTCCTGGATTTGATTAGTTAAATACTGTGGAACTATGGCAATTGGTTGTCATATCTGAATGATTTGTTTTAAATTAAATTGATTATTTTACTATCCAAGTTGAATGTTGTCTATACCCCCTTTCATTTTTCGCGAACACTCTTTAAAAAGCAAACATTCCCTTTGATAAATATTGAAGCATTACCTGCTTGGGCTCCGCCTCCTACGGTCTCTAGACCTGGACCTGCTCCGCCCACGTCGGTCTCCGCCATAACCACGCCCTCCGCCACGGTGTCCGTCACGGTCGTCGTTACTCCTGAACATGAACATGAACATGAACATGAACATGAACATGAACATGAACATGAACATGAACATGAACATGAACATGAACATGAACATGAACATGGATGAAGAAAGATCTTTTTTTCTCAAAAAAATATGAAATGAAAATCCATAATACATTTGAGAAGATGATGATTTACTTAAAATTAATTAAGAGTGGGGAAAATCTGAATTTGAACATCATCTGTTTAGTTAGAACACCCTGAAATACATATTACCCAAGAATTTATTTAGTTACCCTAAAATAATATAAAATTATACACCTTATACTAATAACCCTCTAAAAAAATTACGCAAACGTGCCTAAAATCTACGGGAAAAAATAACAATATATATTAAACCATCTAAATATTGTTGAAATAAAAGAAAGAGGGGGGAAGTGTACCTGGTAGGGCGTCCAGCATCAATACTGATCTTCAAGTCTCTACCATCATACTGACGTCCATCCAGAGCATCCATCGCATCCTCGGCGTCCCGTTTCGAGTAGTACCTGAATATTTTCAAAATAAATTTTCTTTACACAATTCATTTTTCACAATATTAGATTAAATGTGACTGTATAACTGAACGACACAGATATAAAATTGGACCGAGCGCTGCGCTGAAGTAAAAGATGAAATCTTTAAGGATTTAATAAAAATGAAAAACTCAGTTTGTAAAGCAGAAAAGTAGAGTACAGCAAAATACTAAACCTTCGAAAATTAATCAAATAATAAGTATTTCAAATTCTCGGTAGTTTTTTTTAAAAGCGACAGGGGGGGGAGTTGACAAATGTAGGCACCATGTAATTTTATCAAATGGGAAAATTCATAAGATGGTTTTAATTTGATTACTTAATGACACTTGTATAGCTGACTGGTAATGCTGAAATCTATAGTTAACCTTTATAGTGGAGTGCTGTACTCTAGGGTACAATGGTTCATCTTTACCAACGTTTGATGCAAAAATCAATAAATCATGCTTCATCCTGTTTGGTAAAATTTCGTATAAAAAGTATCATGTAACAAATGAGATGAACCACCGTAAAAACGACACATAAAATAATTACCAATGATCAATGTATCTCAAGCTGATAGTGCTCAGATCAGGCTGATAACTCTCAATACAGTCTGATAACTCTCAGTACAAGCTGATTGTTCTCTCAACTGGGCTGATAGCTCTCAGGCTGATAGCTCATTATACCATCCAACAAGCAGACGGTGAACTACTTTTATTGGACCCCATTAAGGGGGCTCTTCGGTATTTTTGTAAACACTCGACAGCTGACATAAAAACTACTGATTGGCTGCTGCCTGCTAACAGTTGTGTTACTCAGTTACCGACTCTTCCATTACTCAGTCCCCAAGGCTCCCAAACCCACGTAGACATTAAATATGTTCGTCTAGGGCAGCAACTGAGTCTTAGAAACACTGTTTGATCCCACAGACTGAATTCCAATCTCTCAAATTCTCAACTTATTATTCCCTCATCCTCCTTTTAACAATAATCAGTTATTTGTGCATCTTTTAAACAGTTTCTTGTGCACTGGAGTAAATGAATGTGTATCAATAAGAAAGTGAAAAAATGGCAAGTTTGACAAATCAAAGCATTTTTTTAAATCAAAACAAACTGACTCAACATTTGATGTTGTATCTTTCGAAATAAGTCTTAAAATCCCCCCCCCCCCCTTCTCACCCTATAAATCTTGTGCTATACCTGACGAAAGCAAAACCCCTGCTACGTCCAGTTCCACGCTCGAGTGGAAGGTAGATATCTCCAACATCTCCGTACTTCTCAAACAGTGGCATCAAATCATCAGACTGAGCGCTGAATAAAAAATCAATAAAAACGAGTTGTTTACAAAACATATTTATGGAAAATTTTATCATGTGAACTTCTTTCCTGAGAATTATTTTTAACAGTGCATACTTCATTTTGATTTTAGAAATAATTTTAAAATTAAAATTAGGCTTGGTTGAGACAATTTCTGGGCCGAGCGCCACGGTTAGGATAGGCTAGGGGGCCGAGCGCCACGGTTAGGATAGGCTAGGGGGCCGAGCGCCGCGGCTAGGGGGCCGAGCGCCACGGTTAGGATAGGCTAGGGGGCCGAGCGCTGCGGCTAGAAAAGGCTAGGGGCCGGGCGCTGCGGCTAGGATAGGCTAGGGGGCCGAGCGCCGCGGCTAGGAAAGGCTAGGGGCCGGGCGCTGCGGCCAAATGATCGTAGATATACCATGTACAGTATTGATAGGGGGGAGGGGGGGTTCCAAAATACGTTCTCTCAGAAAGTACCAATAAACACATCGATATGTTAAAAGTTCTCCTATGGCATTACATTTGAAAAGCAAAAAATTGGTGCCAATTTATTCGTGGATTTTTTTTTATTAAATTTAAAACTTTCATATGTAAAAATAGAAAACCATGCTGAAGTCGATAAGTAAAGCCTCAAATTTTTTCAAATTGCTAATGCAAATTTTAATTCTTTTTTATTTATGCTAGTAAGTTTCAATGTTTAACCTTTGAACATAATCGATACTGTATATTTATTTAAGGTATCGTAAGACAACGCTATAAACAAATTTAAAGAGAAGGATGGTTCAAAATCGTTCTCTAGGAACTTCTTTATGATTTGGAACAGATCAAACAATACAATGACATTCATAAGAAGAAATGGATTCAGTCCCAGTATTTAAACTTAAAAAAGAGGAAGTGAGTTACCGCCCTAAAACGATTTTTGGACCCGCCCCCTCTTCATACTTTTGTAAAACTTTCAGGAAAAATATTGTTGTTTACCATTCCTTCTTTTAGAGTTGAGTTAAGACAAATTCTAGGCCGAGCGCTGCGGCTGTAAGACAGGCTAGGGTGCCGAGCTCTACGGCTAGGCAAGGTTAGAGGACAAGACGCTGCGACAAGACCCATTATGTCCATTATACAAAATGGTAGGGAGGGGATCCAGAAATTAGGGTTTGTCCTAGAGAACGATTTTTGGACCCCCCCATCCTATCAATATTGTGCATGACGAAATTAAAATTAGTATTTATCAATTACTATTTAGGGTAAGGTTAGGACACTTCCTGGGCCGAGCGCTGCGGCCACGGGTTAGGTTTAGTTGACACACTTTCTGTAAGATCCATGTAGAAAATTGATAGGAAGGGAGGGGGTTAGGGGGGGTCCAGTAATCGTTCTTTCGGAATATACCATCATTCCTTCTTTTAGAGTTGAGATAAGACAAATTCTGGGCCGAACGCTGCGGCTGTAGGACAGGCTAGGGGGCCGAGCGCTGCAGCTAGACAAGGTTAGAGGACAAGACGCTGCGACAACATGACCCATTATGTCCATTGTACAAAATTGGTAGAGGGGGGGGGATCCAGAACTTGGTCTCTAGGAAATCACCTAGGCATTTGTATAAACATTTCATTTGATGCTTAAAGTTTATTAGACATGGTGTTAACAGGGAGGTAATCCATCGTAGAGTCGAAAAAATGTGCTTCGTGTAAATGTTATTATTCTTTCCACATAGTATCAATCCTTCCCCCGTATCAATCTAACCTGTAAGGAAGGTTTCCTACACGTAGAGAAGTCATGGAATCCACATCACGAGGGGGTCGACGGAATCCAGCCATGTTTTAATGCTAAATTCTGAAACATCACTTTTGAAAATCGAAAATCACAACAAATTAATTGATACAAACACAAAACTTTCGCAAAATGGCGTTGTCTAATAAATAACCTTGTAAAAATCGCCAAAACTGTTGAAATTTCATCAAAACTTAAACAATTGCGCATTAGATTTCCTAGCCTCCATACCCCTGCAGCAAACAAACAACAATGGCGAAAGCCCGCCAAGACCAAGCGGAAAAGGAATGTTGGAACTGGGAACTTGCTGCGGCAATTTCCTCAAGTGGCGGAAAATTCCAAGTTTAAATCATAAAAAGTCCTGTTTTCCATCGGAATAATCATATTCTTACTCTCAAATAAATAAAATTTGTTTTGTTTGATTTATTTTGTCCGAAAACGAATTTTCAGTTTCCTTTTTATGACAGAACAATGAAAATTGTTTTAAATTTGAAAGAAGACGACTTGCATATTGGTGTCGCATCAATGAACCTACGCTAATAATTAGGCAAAAAGAACTATAGATAATAAAAAGATTTTCATTGAACCAAGTATTATACATGTAAGGAGAGTTCAAATTTTTAACTTTAATTGGTATAAAATATCCTATTTTGGGTTAATGCCCAGCGCTGAAAGGGGCCACGTTACGGTATAGGGTGGACTAAAAGGAGAACAAAAACATTACAACGTAGGAAACCGTTAGAGAGAATGACGAAAGAACCTACTGTACAGTTGCATAATGATCCCTATACTATACTATACTATACTTCAAACTTTTGCTAACGCAAAAAGGACAAAGATACATTTAAAAAAATAGTTTTTAAAGCATACGGATGTATATATGTATATTGAAAAAACTCTAAAGTTAGAACTTATATATATATATCAGAAATTGCTTATCGCAATTTGCTCTCTATGTATGGGGTTATGAATAACAAAAACAGCCTTGTTCTGACAAGAATAAAATTTTCCATAGGGTACTGCTGCAATATGTTTAATGTTTTAACTTTTTAACCTCGCTTGAAATGTGAAAATTGTTCTTACCCTATCCGCAAGATATGTTGCCATGATGAAGTCGTGCTCCACGATGCTTATCATTATTATATTCCGATACGTTATTTTTCAACTTCTTACTTTCCGCGTCATTTCCGTCCAACTCTCCTTTACGCTTCTTGTCAACAAAATACGGTGTTTCTTCGTCAATCAATATTTTCCAGATCAAGCTTTCTATATAATAATTAGTTCCGCCGCAGATAAACGGAATCTTTCCGTTCCTGAGTAGATCCTCGACTATAGGTAGAGCTTTATTCTTGAAATCTACAATAGTATTTACTGCATTTGTCTCCAGGATATCGATCATATGATGCTTCACAAGTCTTTGCTCTTCAGCAGTCACCTAAATCAGGGATAATATTAAGAGTGGATCCAAAGAATTAATTGGGAAATTAGAGATAATTTCACGAGACCCCGGCCCCAGCATGTATACACAATAGTACCCTTAAATACTTTATCAGATCCAAGAATGAATGAGAAATCCTTACTTTTCCATCTGAAAGTTGATTACCTTATTTGTGATAATATTGAGACCCTTGTACATCTGCATAGCGTCTGCACTCACTATCTCCCCGCCAAACCTTTGAGCCAGCTCCAGGGCAAGCTGAGACTTACCAGCTCCAGTAGCTCCTTAATATACGCAAGATAATAAACCTTAANTCTTGTTCTCTTGTTCTCTTGTTCTCTTGTTCTCTTGTTCTCTTGTTCTCTTGTTCTCTTGTTCTCTTGTTCTCAATTGTTCTCTTGTTCTCTTGTTCTTTTGTACGTTCTCATTTATTATTTTGGTACAGTAAACTGTTTGTTGTTATTACTAATAAGTAAATCAGCATATTCTTGCATGTCTAAAGAGTTTGAAGAGCAAACAGTAAGGTTAATACTAAATATCTTTTATTAAATCTGTGATTTTTTTTAATTCAACTTTCATCATGATATCGGTATAAAGAGACTTTAATGGTAATTTCAATGAAATCTTTATGTCATCAATACGTAGGTTATCGACGATTTTAAGCCTGACAATCCTTCTTTGTTCCTGCATTAAAACAAATTCACTTTTATTCGTAAAAAGTAAAAAAATAATTTTGCCGCTTCGCGCAGATAATCATACTCAATCAACTTACACAAAGTAACATAAATAAATTTATCCAAAAATCGAGTTTTTTAATGCAGTAGCATACGTTGCATTATATGTCAAATTAAGTATATTAAGTAATTTTTTTTTACATTTTTACTTTTAATGGTAATCATGGACATGGAGAATGGAGATTAAGTTACATGGTGGCGACATCCAGGCTAGATTTCTCCTGCTGCTGCTTGGTGACATCCAGGCTAGATTTCTTCTGCTGCTGCTTGGTGACATCCAGGCTAGATTTCTTCTGCTGCTGCTTGTTTTCTTCGAAGATTATAGTTTCAATCCTCGATCTTATAGTGATCCTTGTTCAATCCGTGATCCTTGATCCTTGTTTAGCTTAAACCGTGATCAATCCTTGATCATTGTTCAGTTTAATCCTTGTTCAGTAGAATCCTTTATCAATCCTTGATCCTTGTTTAGTTGAATCCTTGATCCTTGTTCAGTTCAATCCTTGATCAGTAGAATCCTTGATCAACCCTCGATATCACTCCTTGCCTGCTCAGTTTTTAGAAGTTCAAGTTTTGCTTTTCCAAAATTATGCTGAAATATAAAATGCTCAATTTTACGTTATTTCCGTAAAGTTTTTTTTTTTAAGTTTTGACCTTTAAAGTTAGAGGAGTATCCGAGATTTATGCTGATTAACTTTGCATATTCCTTCTGAAACATTAATATTTCTATTATTTTAAGAAATTAAAAGGATTTTTTACTTTTAGGTTTAAAATTGAAGTCAGAGATAACAAATAGTTCTTCAAAGTTCTCCAAGAGCTCAGCAGTGTCTGGTTTTAGGTTCTATCACATATTTCTGCTCACTTCACTGGAACATGGGGTTTATTATTTTTACACGATTAGACCCTAGAAGTCCATGTGTTTATTCTACTTTAACAGAATTACAATTCAAGTCTAACACTATTCTACACTTTTTTGAGTCCCATTGTATCTAGGGAGGTTAGCACTGAGGACGAGGAGGAACTCCAAGACGAAGACGACTCTCCGGAAGCTTTCCTTGACATTGAAGAAGACGACATTCTGTGCCAGGGTTATAATCCACGACCTACTGTACAGGTACTGCATGCACATATAGTGTACACAATATTTGAGACTCCTTGGCAATCATAAACCTGTCACAATTTCAAGACTTCCCATTAAAGGGAGTGCCCGGCAATGTATGGTAGTTGAACTGAGAATGTTGTATTGTGGACACATTATTAAGGATTCATTTGAGACAAATGAAACTTTTAATTATGTATAATCACTGAGTTTGAGCGCAAAGTCGACATTCAAAATCATCCATTCAGGTAGCGACTTTTTGAGAACCTATTTTTTTTAATTATTACGACGACGAAAAATATGAAAAAATTCTATTGTAAACTAATTATATGTTAAGGAAAATTTTCCATAATAGAAATTTGTCAATAAATCAATGTCAGAATCAATTATTTCTTTTTAATTACTATATTGAATTTTTTATTCTTTACGAATTTGTTTGCAGATTTCTTCAAATGTTGTCTTTTCAATCGTTTTCGCGAAAACCATAGGTGTTAAAGCTGTAATTCTTTTATTATGAATTTTCCCAAAAATTTTGGCTTTTGTGTTGTTTCGAATGTTTTCGCGAAATTTTCGCATTTTTTCGCGAAACAGATTGAAGCGAAATTTCGCGAAAGCTTTTCGAAGTTACATGTGAGTCGGGCAAATTCTATTCAATAAATGTTGATTCACTTAGAATTAGGTGTACAGTCACTTGTACCCATGGTTAACCATATATCGTCTTCATTCATTCTACCATGGTTAGAATCCTGAATGATATACTATACTGTTTTTCAGAATATAAACAAAGAAACAAGTTTAAAATTGAAAGGAATCAAGAGTTTAAATCATCCGTCATTTGATATTCTGATATTTTTGCTTTAACATACAGGGTGTCCCACGAAACATGACAGCTTAGGTGAATAGTTAAAAATTTCTTCTTTCATAATTTGATAAGTTGTTTGATACTAAAGATGATGATAAGAAATACTAAATGGCAGTAATATTATAGTAAAATTGATTTCAATCAAATATATATTTGGATAATTAAGATTTGTTTAACGAAATAAACTGCAAAAATCTTTAAATAACAAATACAGTATTATGGAAGACGACATTGAAAAATATTCACCAACTGTCATGTTTCGTGGGACACCCTGTATATCCGATTCGTTAAACAATCTATAGCTATGATTTAGCTGCGATTTGCCAGGCTAGCTAGGCGAGAAAGTTGCAGCTAAATCACAACTAGAAAATGTCTAAGGAATCGATCAATACAGTCGTATTTGAAGTGATCTGCTGTTAAAGAAAACGTCGTCTTCCTTATCAGAAAATCTTTAATTTTCTATCGTTCCAGAGAATGCCGGAAGCTGTTGTATTTGGAACACGGAAAGGAGGAACTAGAGCTCTTCTAGAGTTCCTGAATATTCATTCTAAAATCAGGAACGGAAATTTTTTTATCCCAAAACACCGTCCCCTCTTGCCCCCTCCCTTAGATCAGAAAAGGGGCTAAGGAGGCAAAAACAGTTAATTTTTTTTTACAAATATGAAATACTCAAGATTTGCCTATTTTGTTAAATCTTCACGTTGTTGAGTAGGTTGGTGATGTAGATATAATTTCTATAATTTAATAAATTTCTTGCTTTACTCCCAGGCGTGCAAAATCAGAAATTCACTTCTACGATAAACATTTTGATAAAGGTAAACAGATCAGAACGGAACAGAATAGAAATAAGTAATGTCCAATTCTGATTTGTTTTCTTGTCGAAAATTAGTGAAAATAATTTTCGAAAAAACTTGTGAACAAAGGTAGTTTTTGCAAAAACTTTCATTTTTAAATCCCTACATCTTAGAAACCTGATGTCGTAGACCTTTCATATTTTAAACTAAGAATTCTGTCAGATTAAAAAGTCTAAGCTTTGGAATATCAAGGTCTACACCATCATGTTGCAAAAATATAGGGCTTGGAAAATTTGAATTTTTGGCAAAAACTCAGTTCCTTAAACTCTTAACTCAGTTCTATATTTTTTTCACTGAAAAATTTATTTTATTGTAAATAAAACTTGATTATGAAATAATAAAAATAACGATTATAATTTTAATAATAATAATAATGATAATACTGCTTAGGAAAGGACTGGTATATATCCCAGATGCCTCCGGTAGCTGAAGGTCAGATTGCAATGGAGAAAACCCCAGGGAAAAATCAATAAATCAAAAAATCAAAAAGTATTTTACTTTTTTCTTACCTTATCCATTTAAGAGATTTTTTATTCCATTTAAAAGTCCAAATAATCGCTTAAAAGTTTTAGAATTAGGAACTGATCAAAGATATCAGAGTTTCATAGATCTCAATCTTATAAACCTATTATTACGAATTTGAATTTTAAATTTTTCGTTTATTTCTGTGACAAATATTTAAAAGTTTTTAAAACTTTATGAATATTTTATTTTACGCCTTTTCTTAAATAAATTACATTTTTTTTAACCATATATCTTTGCATTTTTGATATTTTTGCAGTATATTTGATTATTTTTGATACTTTTATTGATTTTGATATTTTTTATAATTATTGACAATTTTTAATAACAATCCTTGATTTTTTTTCTGTTTTTGATATTTTTAAAATCGAATTATTAATAATTTTTGATAATTTATGATGTTTTCTTTTATACATTTTATAAATTTTAATAATTTTTGATTTTTTTTAAATTGAATAATCATAATCCCGCGAGATATTTGTCCGACAGTTTCAGCAGTCTCTGTCTGCTTCTTATTACAGAGTTATAGTAAGAGTTTTGTCGAACTGAGTTCTGAATTAAGTAAAATTGATAAAAATCCATTTCAAAATTGTCTGTGTGTAAAAAGTGCCTTTTTAAGAAACATAACATTACATGAGATGGGAAACTGAAAAATGTCCAACCCTTCAACATCCAAAAGAAATTTTTTACTTCCTTTCAGTCTTTGCCAAAAACTTAGATTTTATGCATAATCCCTATATCTTTGCAATCCATGGTCGTTGAACTTAGATATTTCAAACTATAATTTCTGTTAGATCATATAACAAATGGAAAGATATAGGGTTAACAAAAAATGGAAAGATATAAGGTTAAGAAAATGTGAGTTTGTGGCAAAGACTCTTCTGTAATAATTCAAAAACTGCAAAAAAATTGTTTATATTGGTCTTTGTAAATCTTGCAAATTGTGAAATTATTGGACACATTTGATTATGAGTTTTTTTGACTGTCTATGTATCTTTATTATTTTCATCTTTCATTGAACATTTGAGATAGCCATCTTTTAAAGTTTGTTTTTGCATTAGGCGTTTACTCTGTGATTGAGATTGAGAGCCAATTCTATCAATTCTAACAAAATGTCCTTTCCTATATTATCAACCAAAAATTTAAAGCGATTTAGCATGACGTCATTGGTGTCCAATATGCCACCAAAGACGACATTTGGTGTTGACTGTATTTTGTCGGATAGAATGATACAAAACTGGTTCTAATAGTTCGAGATCCTGTTACGAGACTAATCAGCGATTATAACCAGGTAACTAAAGGGAAAGTTCATGATTTTTGTTCAAAGAGGGAAATTCAAATTTAAGAGTAATAAGCTATTCAATTTAAATTTGGTAATCTGCTGGGAAAAGCTTTTAAGTTCTGCAACAGATAGGAGGAAATGGGGGGGGGGAGGGGATTGAATTGATTACTTGCCTCAAACTCTAATTTTCTATACCTTATATCTTTGCAATCTGAAAACATATAATATTTATTACTATTAGATCTAATAACATTGAACTCGAGACGCTATGGGGGGGGGCGACGGCTAAAAAAACCTTTATCAAAAAAGTTAACCTATGCAATATTTCACAAGACTTAAGATTAAACAATTCCATACTGCAGGCATAACAATTATAAAGCTAAATTCATATTTATCATCGCTGAGGGTTTTGTAACTTAGAACTGTTGGCATAATTTTAATTTTACCCATCAGTCCATTCAAATGTGACAATGCCTGATTCACAACAGTACCCTTGAAACCTTGTTTATGAAAGGTATTATCAGTTTTCTAGGTTTAACAGTGTTCAATTCTGATATTTCCTTTTTGTATTCCTGAAGTAGAATTTCGCATCTTTGCATGGAGGGTTACTTGAAGTTACGACGAATAAAAAATGAAACGATGACGACATTTTTAGTTTTATCACAACTGGTTGGAGAAAGGGAAAGAGTATCCTTCTTTTGAGTCCCAATTGTTTACTCCAGGTGAAACCATTTAAATTAAAAAATCCGCCAAAATTTTACCAAAATAATTTCAAAAATCCACCAAAATGTTACGAAAAATATTTTTTTATTAGAGTTTATAAACTCACGTTAATGGCCACTGTCCAGTGATTGGTAACTTTAGACCTCATTTTGTAATTCACAAACTAAATGTAGATTCTTCGTATATGCTATTTCATTATTTTTTTTTGTGTGGATTTTTTTTAATGTTTATGTATAAAAGGTCTCTTTCGATATTTTTGACGGATTTTGATTGATTGATTAAAAAGATATAAATGAAAATTCGCTGTGGTTGGAATTTTACGTGCAAATTAAAACATATTATTTTAAATTTGATAATATACCTAAAATCAAATACTTTTCAGTAAAAATGTTAACATAGTTCCACATTTATTGAAAAATTTCAAGTGTTTTTTAATTCATCCTTGATGAAAATGATGTTCACACATATTGGATTTTTCGATCAGTGCGGCCGGAAAACCGGTTTTTTAAATTATTATTTTTAGAAACATCAGATAGCCTTAATATTGGTACCAACTACTGATATAAGGCCATTGTGAATTTATCTGTATAGTACTCCCTTTCATTTTCCTAAACACTCCCTTTAAATACACATTTTATGTCTTCTTCTTATATCCATGATGTATTAAGACAACTTGGTTGTTCTTTTAGAGTATAAAGGAACAGGACACTTCCCCCAAGCTTTAGTTTTCAGACCCTTTGCTATCTGATGTCGTTTAAACCTTTTGTTTTTCAAACTAAGAATTTTTCTATTCCACATCAAAACATCAAAGGTTTACACCATCAGGTTTCAAAATGATTAGTAAAATATAGTTATAACCAAAAAAAGTAGAAACTTTTTTTCCAACCTCTTCAAAAAACAAATTTTCAATTTAGTAATTAAGTAGGATCCGTGAAGTGTGGAATATAAAGATGAAAATTTATCAAACTTATTTAATGTCTTTATAAAGTAGTTTTACTAGTAACTTTAAAATCAACTTGTGAAGTAAAATGTTTCTGTGTGAACTGTACAATTGTTGTGTTTAATGTTCATTGAACTATGGTTTCATGGGTTCACACTGTATAAAAGTTTATTTTTGATTTTTAATAAGAAAATAAGTTTTTTTAAATCTTATTTTATTTTTAAGATGGTGAAATTGATGTAAACTACCCTCCTCTACAGAGATCTTTATACCACGTTCATCTTGGTAATTATAATAATTTTATTAACAAAAATAATAATTATTATTATAATTATAATTATTACAATAGTCAATAATTATAATTAAAAATATCTATAATTGTAATTACAATAATATTTGATAAATTACTAAAATTAGAGTAATAAAGATAATTATGATTAATGTTACTTATGAAAATAGTTTTGATACAGAAATAGTAATAACAATTCATAAAACTAGATTAAAATAAAAAGTAATAAAACCAGCCATGTAAATTATTACAATAAATTTAAAAACAGTAATATAAGTAAAAACAAGAAAAAAATTATGATTTAAGTATACTTTTTAACAAGATTTACAACGGTAATGGCAAAACAAAAAAGTTGTAGCAAAAAACATGAAAATAAAAAAATATAAACATAACTCTTTTTATCAAGAACGAACAACTATTATGATAACATAAAATATTCATATCCTTCGTCGCTTCTTCAATTACCTTTACCCATTTTTTTTTTAAATTTTACATTTTTCATTTTACACATTCAGCTTAAGTTTGAAAGAATTTTGAATGTTTAGAGAGATGGATGAAGTTCTTTCCGTTGGAGCAGATTTATATTGTGGATGGAAACTCCTTTATCAAGGTAACTTATTGTAGACAGCGGCCCAAGGAAGTTACGTGCACTTGCCGCGCTGAATTACAAGAAAGAGAGAGATTAGTATATATTTGTTAAAATAAATTCGAAATATAAGGAAGACGATTTTTCCAACTCAAATGCCGACGTTAGTTCTCTAAATGTGTGTGTACACAGGAAGCAAGCACACCACATGTGTCAAATCCCCGTTCATCCCAGCTCCCGGTATTCAGTCAGCTACAAACACTCAAGGTATTCACAACTCCGTCTCTACCCTGGCTCCTCCATGATGATGATGCAGATACTCAGCGCAATGCACCTGTTGATCTGCCCCACCAACATGAAGCTCTACATCACCCCCCATGACTCCTTCAGGCTGATGATGCAGATACTGAACTAACAGCAGGCGTGCTTATACTTCTGATCTCCCTATTAACTTCTTGAGAAGCTTACTTAGGAAACTTGTGTGCTAAAACAGGCTATAGGGGCCGAGCGCTGTTGCTAAAACAGGCTATAGGGGCCGAGCGCTGTGGCTAAAACAGGCTATAGGGGCCGAGCGCTGTGGCTAAAACAGGCTATAGGGGCCGAGCGCTGTGGCTAAAACAAGCTATAGGGGCCGAGCGCCGCGGCTCGAACAGGCTCTCTCTCTCTGTCTTGAATTTCAACGCAGCATTAGCATTTAACTTCCTTGGGATTCTGCCATTAGTATATGTGTCACACTTTTATTCAGAATTAAATTTAAAAAGTAAGACATTTTTTCTCCTTTAATTTGGTGAAAGTAACATAAATTAAATACGTATATATATATATTATATGCACATTGATTGAAATAAATCCAGTTTTTTTACAGAATAAATGTAGTCAATGTAAGTATTTAATACATCATAAATTATAAATACTATAAATTTAGACTTTAGAAAAAACGCTCTTACTCACTCTTACGCCAGATGATTGGATTTTGACTTCAGACAAATCAACTTTCAGTGGAAAATATGAATTATAATTGGCACGGTAGTTTTTGATGTAGAACCTACCAAAAGGCATTTTCATCCATTCCTCTTCATTTTCTTAACCTTCTTTATGATGAATATTCTTCAAAACGCTGCAACTAATTTGGTTTCCAGAGCACTTGTGGGCGGCTGATCATCGCGGATTTTTCATATTGGTGGATTTGCTATTTTATAAGCTGTTTAAAAAGTCTCAATTTATAGTGGACAACCTTTAGGGTATAAATTAAGAAAGGTGAAAGGTGAAAGGTGATAAAGGAAGCCTTTTATTTGATAGAGTTTGTTAATCCCAGAAATGATTGGGAAATATAAATCAAACCCAGCTAAAGCCCTTATTTGCTTCCTCAACGTGCCTCCTCGATTTGCAATTTATTATGCGTCCTCAAGTACGTCATTATTTTGCGTCCTCAAAGTGTGTCCTCATTGCGTCCTTGGCGATACTTTCTCAATGTGTGTCCTTAATTTGACCTCGACAATTATTTCAATGTTTTTAAGGAGCCTTGGGTTGAGATTGAGAGATTAGAAGAATTTCTTGGAATTCCACATGAGGTCGGGAGCCAGAACTTTTATTTTAACGAGACAAAAGGTAAGGAGATGTTAAAAGGACTATTAACGTACTTTTAACTGACACACCATTTAAAGCGGAGAATGCCCGATACACCACAGTATCTTTGAAACCTTTTTCTGATTAAAAATATGGAAGCAACGTCGTCTTCGTAGCTTAAAAATCTTTTAATTCTTGTAGGGTAACCTTTATGTCTGAAACAAGAAATGTGCAAGTCGCTTTTGAAGTTTTGAGGAGAATCAAGAAATGAAAATAATTAGTTTGCAAAAATCAAAACATCTAATTCATACTTATCACTTAATTTAGTCAGACGAAGTTTTCCAAAATACTGTGGAATAGGAAGACGACTTATAGACTCCAGATATGATTTTAAAGAGTCGAATGAACTCCTTAAATGTTTGGTTTGAACAAACCTATTTCATTAATAAATTGGATTTGAAGCCAATGGTAGAACCATTTCCTTTATACATAATATTGCACATTTACACACATTTACACATAATATTGCAAAAAATTTCGTTTTCTTACACCATATATATATATACTGACATTACCGACTTATTATTCCCCTAATTTAAGAATTTTAGGCTACTTTACTTCCCTTGGGACAACTACAACAAGTGTGTAAAAAACCACACACTGGCAACTCTGCGAAGTTTTTTGTGAAAAAATTCGCGCATTTTCATTTAAAAGTACAATAAAATTGTGTACAACTATAGAAGTACAACTGTAGAGGTCAACGCGGGTTCCCTTGGGAACTCTAGGTTAAGTAAAATTCTCTTTAGCTTCCCCGTAAAGTAGATGTAAATGATTATTGTCAGAAAAAAAAATCTTATATCTGTGAGAATTATCAATAATTTGAATAAATGTATAGGAATGTTTTTTTATACATTAAAGGCAGTGACCGGCAATGTATGGTAGTTAAACTGAGAATGTAGTATTGAGGAGAAATTTTTTAGGAATCATTTGATACCTGTGAGATGGTTTACGGTGCATATTTGTTCAGCAAGTGCGCAAACTAAATCTTAAAATCAGCTCATAGATTATTCATTTTGGGATGATTGTAAGAATCTGTTTTAAAAAAATTATTTATTAACGAAAAATAATTGATTCTAACATTGATAATTATTGAAAAAAAGAATCACTTAAAAAAATCTTATGTTATGTTCTGTAAACATTTTTCTAATTTAGGATTTTTCTGCGGGAAGGAAACTATACAAAACTTTAACTCCGACTGGACCTGCACCAGGTTACTAATTAGTTCATTAATTAAAGGGACCGTTCACATAATTTCAAGGGACATTCAATATAAAGAGGGTCATACCTGGTTCACAGGGTTTGCATTTAAACTTTTTTTATGCAGCAGAAAAAACGTTTCAAATGAATCTTTTTCAAGGTGAACTATCAACAATATCTTCCCCATCGGTGCTCAGATAAGATAGTTGATGGGTTGTAAATCAGAAATGTCACTCTTTCAATGGAGGGGCACTTGAATTTATGCCTTACCACTCCCTTTAATTATATCGATTTGATAACTGAAGTGTTTACGCATTTAAAAAAAGCATATTTTAACGTTTAAACTTAACCTATTAATCTTGGCCCCCCTTCACGCCTGATATGAATATTTCTGATAACTTGATATTTTTCAGAAACAAGTGCCTCAGTAAATCAAAAGGAAGAGCCAAGCTAGTTGTTAAGGACGACATTATGCGTCGTCTTTACACCTTTTTCGACCCTTACAATCAGCTGTTCTTCTCCTTGGTCAATAGAACAAACTTCAAGTGGGAGTATAAACCTTAGGGTTGATATTATAATTGTCTATAGTTTTTCAGGTTTAGAAATTGTAAAAATCAATTATAATTATGAGAACAAAAGAAGAAACTGATGTAAACAAATGTTCAATTCTAATCGATTGTAAAAATGTAATATAAATTTTTTTTTTTAATTTTGTGAATTTTCAAACAATGTCGTCTTTTCATTAGCCTTAAATATTTTTGCATTTGGAAAATTTACAAAAGCTTGGTCTGTCAATAATTTGTAACATTGAATTTGATCTTTGATTTAAAAAAATTGTAAAAAATAGACTAACAATTCTTTTATAATAAAATTCTTTGAATTACATTTAGCGAATTTAATTTAAATTCAAAAAATACCAGACAGCCTGTGTTTTAATTAACTATATGCTAAAAGAGTGGTTTCCATGTTATATATGCGCAGAAATACATTGAATGTTAAACATTTGCTATTTTGTTATATAATAATATAATTCGAATATTTGTTTTAGAATTAAATAAATTTATTTTTAAATGTTTTTTAAAATTAAATACAGGGTGTCCCACGAAACATGACAGTTAGTAAATAGTTTTGAATGCCTTCTTCCATATACTGTATTATATATTGAAGACTTTTTGCAGTTAAAAAAATAATATACCAGCCATATAATATCTTTATTATTCTTTTATGTATCAAACAACTTAACAAATTATGGAAGAAGACATTTTAAACTATTCACCAACTGTCATGTTTCGTGCAATACCCTGTACTTTAGTTACAAGGTAACCTGTCCAAAGGATATAAGACAAAACTTCTTTCTTTCTTTGAGAAATATTTAAAAATGATTGGGATCGTACAAATCACCATAAAATTACCCCCTGTTAAAAATAATCAAACCAACAGAAAACCAACCAGAATTATTAGAAAATTTATTCGTACATACAGAAGGGTTGAACATAGATTTGGAAGTACGTATGCCAGAGAAATATATCAATTATAGAATTGAAACATTGTTTAAATCCCAGAACAGAGGTGACATCATACAGAAACTAAGATGCAATGAAATACTAGAAACAGCAACTGCAGGTTATCAGAGAAACCAAGAATGTCACCTTCCTACACTACCTAGGAGATGAACCAGAACACTTAGATACTTCTAGGCTAATCACCACTGACCCCATTGGGGATCAAGTGGATTTCACAGAATTATTCCCAACAATATTTAAATCCATAACAGGTATCTAGTTCAAGCCACTCCAAAAATACAAACAGTACAAATCCACTTATCTAAACCAGAACAATTGGGTTACCATGAAGGCACACTCAATCATGCTGAAGAGACTGACTGACTGTATACCAGGAGAGGCGGTTTTACGGTTCATTTTTGTTCAGCAAGTGTGCAAATTTAATCTTTAAAATCCTCATAGATTGTTCATTTTTGAGGGATGATTTAAACAAAAATATTCGACCACAAAAACTAACAAATTCTACAATAAACTAAGTAGTTGTTTAGGAACAGGTTGAGAAAATAAAAGTCAACTTATCATCGAAAATAAGTAATCTTATTTAGCTATTGGATTCTATAAATTTCTCATTGTTCACAAACATTTTCTGTAGTTTCTTAGAATTTTTGAAAAGACGACATTTGAAGAATTTGAAGAAATCTTCGAACAAATTCATGAAGAAGAAGGCAAATGTAGGCACACTCAATCATATTGAAAAGGCTGACAGCCTCCTGTGCACCAGGAGTTACCGGGTCAATGGTAGATATATTATCATAAATAAAGCATGTGTGTTCGTTAATTTAGATTCATTAATATCTTTTTAACTTTAACTTTAAGATATTTCGATTTAAGCCTATGACCATTCTTTAACAATAACCTAAAAGTAACGCCACACCTGTATCGTGGCCAGGTTTGGTTTGGGAAGCCCGGAAAATTTCATTGAAGTTTTTCCCTCAGGCAGTTTTTTGGGTAACACTTCTTTTGTTCAGAAATATTATTTAGTGTGCAGTTTCTTTATTATTCTCTTTTTTCTGATTTCTTACATAAAATGTATTGACCCCAAAAATTAAATTTGCGGCTCCGCTGTTAAAACACGTTTCTTTTATTCATATTATTCATATTATCAAACTGGAAGTATTTTAAAATTGAAGACATCTTGTTTTAACTTTTGAACAGAATGTTAGGGATATATAAACATTTCTGAGGTATCTCTAAAATTCTGTTCTAAATAAAAACCAGAATGTTAGAGAAATAAACATTTCTGAGATATCTCTAATATTCTGTTTGATTTTAAACAGCATCTACATCATTTTGAAATACTTTTGCGGAAAGTTCACTATTTTAAACAAAATGTTAGGTTTTCTTATGCTGCAGGGGGGTAGATAGCTTTTCTAGCTCCACCAATCAGAGTTAAAGGAACATCTCCGCGTACAATATACTCCGGACCAGTATCTTCTATTCCATTGTTTGAGTTTCCATTTCCTAAACAATATTTAGTTTTGGTAATTTCTGACTATAGAGTTGTGGTAAGGCTCTAACTAAAATTTTGGCCCGAAACCTCTGTTGATAAAGTTTTTTTCTTCTTTAAATCACGAAACCTCTACCAACCCTGAAGAATAACACTAGTTATTATAGTGGTTATGGGGCGATTGTAATTGTGGAACAAAGACTAATCCTAAAGTATTGATCTTGAGAATTCTGAAAACTTAAACAAACTTAACAACTAAATGTTTAATCGCAGCAGCGCTCGGCCCAGATATAATCCCAGCCTAACCTAACCCACCCCACGCCATATATAACATGAGTAGATTGTATTTGTATAGTAGGTATATGTGAACAAAATCTGTGATTCTGTTATTGGTTTTGCGGTTTATTACATAATATATGTATGGATATTGTTTATTATGACCTACGATAGATGGATAACTTATCACGTGACCTAATCGTTTTACTTGAGAGTTAGAGCATTACAACAATTCCATTATAAGAATTGAACCTAATTGTTTAATTGAAAACTTTAAGATGATACTCATCATTTTTAAACTTAAAGTGAGTGTTCGGTTCGCGAAAATTGAAAGGAGGTAATGGTTTACGGCGAAAAATAATCACTTTTGATCGCTACTAATCTTACTTCTATCTGTTGCATCTATCAGGAGAAAATTGTTAAAAACGACGTATACTGAAGAACGAGCGTCCATACAAATTCAGAAAGTAGAAACATATGACTGGTGCCCTAAAAAATCAATTTAATAATCAATAATTTTTGTTCTACGCATTCGTATATAGTCAATATTTCATAATATAAATGTAATTTATTTTTATACACAATGCACTTAAAATGACTTTTTTTTGCGCTTGGTGTCTCTGACACGTGTAATCATTCAAAGCATCAAGAGCTGAGACATCTGGCGGCCAACTATTGCATTGTATACAAAACGAATATTAAATATTAGTTTTACACAAATACGTCGAAAAATAATCCATGACTTTAGGTTCTAAAATCTGAATGATTTGGTTGAAATTAAATCGATTTTTTACGATCCGAGTCGTATTATTGAAACTTTCTGAATATGTATGGACGCTACGTTCTTCATTATAAGTCGTTTTTGAAAAATTTCTCCTTATAGACGCAACAAATAGAAGTAAGATTACTAGCGATCAAAAGCGATTATTTTTCGCCGTAAGCCAATACCCCCCTGTAATTTTTCGCAAACACTCCCTTTAAACCACATTAAAACCCGATTTAAATCAAACCCCATTCATAAACTAACCTGTGAATAACCAGGTGGCTCCAACTACTACGTTAAAGAAAGCTCTAGCTTGGTCGTCAATCATATCCAACATTGGGATAGAAACTCCCTAAAATAAAAAAGGAAATGTAACTGTTCGGAATATAGTTACTCATCATAGCGCTATAGTCAGATGAGAGTGTATGTATTCTATGCAGCAAAGTAGAATGCAGTATACGCTCTCATCTGACTAGTGCATTGATAATTAACCCTATCTGGTCAGGGGGGGAGGGGGGGAGTGGGTAATATGATCCTCCCAATCGTTTTTTTTTTCGATATCTTAAAAATTAAGTAAGCTAGGAAGCTCAAATTTTCTGACTTTTTTAACTGACCCTTGCCCCCCACCTCAGGCTAAAAGTTATGCTTTTAAATCTACTGCCTAAATGCCTTATTTTGCCTATACCAGACTAAATCTGTATTTAGACCTACTTCTAGTCATTGGATTTCAACATTTTATAGCTGCTTGAAAAGCCTACGGCAAAAGTAAGCAGATTGCACAATTTTTTGTAAAGAAAGTTTTCACAGATTTTTGCACAGACGCCTTTAAAGAGTATTTGCACAATTTCACTTTTTCTTAAAAAAACACATTTAATAAATTTTGCAAATGTTTTTACACATTTTAATTCTCTGGGTCAAAGGCTTTTTAAAAATGTGTAATTTGTTGCAATTTGCACAATTATTTTATTTTCTTAATATTTTTTGCTTAACAACTAGATTTTGTAAAATATATTTGGATTTTTGAAAATTTGCCATTTTTTGGCAGACTATTGAAGCCCAAGGGCTTTCCAAAAACGTACTAATTGTTATAGATTTGTATCACAATAAGAAAATAGAGGGAGGGGGGGGGGTCAATCATCAGGCAGACAGTCAGTAAAAAAAACATCTTAATATTATGTTCAACATAACAAAAATACATCTAAATCGTAATTGTTTTTATATTTAAAGGGAGTGACTTGCTAGAAAATGGTAGTTGAGCTGAAAGTGCAGTATTGTAAAGAAAAACTTTAGTATTCATAGATAACAATTAGAAAGGTTTACACTGCAATACAATTAAAAAAATAAAGTCGTTTGTAATATTGTAATATTGCAACATTCAGCAGAATATTGTTTTTTACAATTCTTAAATTAACATGGAAAAAACATGTAACTAATACAATTCTACCAACTTCAGCAGAATACAAGCAAGTGGAGACAAATAATGAACGTATATCATTGAAAATAAGTTATCAAAATTCATTTAAAATCTTGCGAGTTTAGGCAATTCTTTCGGCTTTCTTTATGTTAATTGTGAAGACGACATTTTGAAGAAATCTGAGAATAAAATATTAGAAATAATAAAAGTAATGATGATAATGAATTCCATCGATGCTAGGGTTCTACAATAGCTTTCATTAATAATTTATTTTAAGAAATATGTTTCTTAACAGCAAATTAGTCTTTAAAATAATTCACTTACATGATTGTCCAGGTTATTAAATAATTGTAAAAAACATTTCTTATCCTGGCTGAAACACTGGTGAAATATTATGACTTTACACGCTCTTGTTAAAAATTGTAAATCATAAAAATGTTTCTTTGGTATTAAATCAATCCTAAAGTTTTTTTCTTTTCAAGTCAAGAGAGTATCTCTTAACTATAGTAGACCCAAGGACCAGGTATTGGGCGCGGCCTTTGGAAGCTTTGGAAGCGTTGGTCGGGCTGTTTGTACTTAATAAACCAAAATAGTTTTTAGAGTAAATTTACAAATGGATATTTCACGGGGTCAAATCAAAATAATATCAAAAGGGAGATTTTTTGTTTATGGATTTGTTGTGTCTTCCAGAGAGAGAAAAATGTATGTTTTGAATTTAACTCACATCTTCTGAGGTATATGATCTGTACAGCATGGTGGCTCCCTTTACTCCGTTTGCATATCTAAATATATTTTATATTTTTATTTACGTTTAAACTCGACCCTTCAGAAAGTAAAATTTTGTTCAAAAAGTATCTAAAATGACGCCTGAAAACTCTGTTTATAAATAAATTCAATAAATTGGAGATAGGTTGCTTAACTATCTACAACCAGTTCAAATCATGAATCACCATGAATTCAAATCCTCACGAATCTTTAACTTTAAATCCTTCAGTTGATTTAATAAAATGCTATCGTAAAAAAATTCAAAGTTAAATATTTTTTTTAATTTTAATATTATATTGACATTTTATACATCGACACAAAAAAGATTTAATTTTTTTTATGAATTCTTTAAAAGAACTGCGGATTTAGCAGCAGAAACAGGGAAGAAAATTAGCAACTTATCTCCTTCTAACTTTGAAAAACGACAATATCTTCCTCATTTTCACTCAGACATAGGTTTTAAAGGTACCATTGTGAATTGGAAAGACAACTATATGATTAAAATTAAGCCAAAAGTTCCTATAGATTACCTAGCAATAGATAAATGTTTTTATTCACCTTTCGTCTGTCAGATGACTGTTCATATCACAAAAAGATTGAGAACACTGAGAGTTCGCACATCCAAAAGACTAAAAAACAAACAAAGTTTAAATTTTCAAAATTTAAAAAAAGGTTTAAATGTAGAAATGATTTTTAAGATAATTTTTATCAGACAAATATCTAAAATGAAATTGAGTTTTTGCCACAAACTCAAATTTTCGAATTTATAAATACAATAAATATCTTACAGCTGGACAGTCTGTGACCCCTGAGGCAGTGAGGCTTGTGAGGTTTGTTCGAACAGCCTCGTTAAAGACGACATCCCATTCCTCTCCTGCACAGAGGTCGTTATCTCCCTCAAACTTGCAGAACTCAAAACTAAATATCGTTTTTATGATAAAAATGAAAATGCTGAGAGCGGAAAGTGTTTCTTATAAATAAACATCTCAACTAAGCTAAGAATCATCTTTTTCACGTACAAAGATATTGTGTAAGTAATCCAGTTGGATATGATATAAGATATAACCATCGTTAAAATTAAAATTGTTACTCCTGTTCTAAAGATTATGGGAGAGATGATAAAGAACTCGAGTTTTGGTATTATGCTGATTCAAAGACAGATAATTTACAGACTTATATAGATAGTTTCATAAATAATCAAAAATAATGTTAATCATTGATATAATGACTATGCATAATGCATGTTTTGTAGAAATACTTGCCATGTTTTTTTGAATTCTTTAAAATGTTATAAAAATTACCTCTGAAGATATCCGAATAAATTGGACCAGGTAGGTTGGAAAGGAGAGAAAGGAAATGAGTTCCCAGATTTAGAGAAAACTGAAAACAAAATATTTTCTGAAAGATGATCTGGCTGGATGTTTTCAAGAAAGAAAGAAAGAAAGAAAGAAAGAAAGAAAGAAAGAAAGAAAGGAAAGAAAAAAATAGCTATTTGTAGAAATACAGAAAATAATACAAGGAAGAAACAGGGTTCAGAGTTGATTCTTTTAAATATCCACAATGTTTACCATCAGCTGATTAATATCCACCATATTTACCTTTCAGCTGATTAATATCGGCCATATTTACCTGTCAGTTGATTAATATTCATCTTATTTATTTGTCAGTTGATTAACATCCGCCATATTTACAGGGGCGTACGAGGGCTTTTGTTTAGGGGGGGCACAAATTGCGCGCGTAAGCGTGCAAAAAAAATTTTTTGGTCCCCCCCCTTGGCAACATTGGTCCCCCCCTTAAAAACCCCTTTTTTGAAAAAATATTAATACCTTTTTTAAATTTTTTTTGCCCCCCCCTCTCCCACCTGGACTTATTTTGTTCACCATAAAAATACACCAAAAAGACTACTTTTTTGAGTGTTACTAACCTTAGAGTCTAAAAATTATTCCTTTGCTTGAAAAACTAACTTTTTGACTTTATAAATTTATCACTTAACTCCATCACAGCTAACCAAATCAATAATCACAGCATCATTAAAAATTATTTTTTTACGAATAAACGAAATTTCTTCTGAAATTTTTAGATAGAATTTACTCAATCTACATTTTAACCAAATCTTTTAAGCTACAATTTTCTGGGATTTGCTTGCACAAACATTTCAATGATTTTTTTCAGTAGAGAGCTCAGACAGCCTTATAGGGTGTAAAGCTATAAGTGCAAGATCGTTAAGTCTGCTCTCCGTCATAATACATCTTGTGTAAAAAAGTATTCTCTTTAGAAGGCTAAAACTTTTCTCTCCTTGTATTAACAGTGAATTTAGACAAATCCTTAGTCTTTGTCATTGTCAGGTGTTACTTTCTAAACGTAGTTTCCTTTTAATTTTGTATTTTTGGAACTCCCAGGGGGGGCAAGAGAACTACTGCCCCCCCCCCCTAGGTACACCACTGTGCCTGACCTGAGGAAGGGAAATGCAAGCAGATGTAATATTAAAAGAGCCTCCCCCATGGATGCCCCCCCTCAGCCTCTCAGGGGGGGCACGCGTAGAGGGGGGCGGGGGGCGCGGCCCCCCCCCTCGTACGCCCCTGCATATTTACCTGTCAACTCAATATTATCTGCCATATTTACCTGTTAGCGGATTAATGTCCGCAACATTTACCTATCAGTTCATTAATTTCCGTCATATTTACCTGTCAGCTGATTCATGTCTGCCATATTTAACATTTAGCTGATTGTTATCAGCAATATTTATCTTTAGCTGATAAATATCCGCCATATTTACCTTTCAGCTGATTAACATCTGTCATATTTAACTTTTAGCTGTTCAATATCCGTCATATTTATCTGTCAGTAGGTTAAAATCCGCCAAATTTACCCGTCAGCTGATTAATATCCGCCATATTTACCTGTAAGCTGATAATTAACATCCTTCATATTTACCTTTATCCGCAATATTTATCTGTTAGCTGATAAATATCCGTCTTGATTAACGTTCAGCTGATTAATATCCGCAATATTTACCTGTCAGCTGATACCGGTGAGCATCATCGACAGCTGAATTATCAAAACCAACATATTTCATGATTGCCTCTGCAAATGCTTTTGGGTCCTGATTTTCCTAAACAATATTAATCTTTAGTCCCTGGACTTTTGACATATTGCAATTTTGTACAAAAGTTAAGTATGCAGTCTTCAGTATAAATATTGGCATGAAAGAAACTGAAAGAAAGAAATACAAAAACCAAATAATTAATTAGAAAGAAAAACAAAACAAACAAAGAAAGAAGGAAAACAACAAAAATATTTTCCTGAACAATATTAATCTTTAGTCCCTGGACTTTTGACAAATTGCAATTTTGCAAATAAATATTGCCAAGAGGACACAAGTTGAAAATACCAAGAAGGAACGGAAAACATAAAAGAGACGAAGTCTTGAAATGTTTAAGTCTATTGTATTATATTTCTTTTTGGGCTATTTTCATTTAAAGATGTTTTTAAATTGATAAACATTTATTCTACAGCAACTTCTTATCTTTAATTTTACCTGGGCCATTCTCCAATAGACATCCATAGAATAGCTTCCACCCGCCCAAGTCCAGAAGTTCCCATACTGACTAAACAGTGGACTGAAGACTTTATGTCGTAGACTGTAGAGTGTATAACATAGACCTTATAGACCGTAGACCATAGAAGATAGACCTTATAGACTGTGACCATAGACTGTAGACTGTAGACTGTAGACTGTAGACTGTAGACTGTAGACTGTAGACTGTAGACTGCAGATGGTAGACCATAGACAATCGACTTACGGCTGTAGACCATAGACCGTATACTGTAGACTGTAGACCATAGACTGTAGATCTTAGACTGTAGACCGTAGACTGTAGACTGTAGACCATAGACTGTAGACTATAGACTGTAGACCGTAGACTGTTGACCATAAACCGTAGACCATCAACCTTAGACCGTTGACCTTAGACCATTGACTTTAGACCATATACCGAAGACCTTAGAACATAGACTGTGGACCATATACCATAGACCATAGACCATTGGCCGTAGACTGTAGATCGTAGACCATAGACTGTAGACAGCAGACTTTAGACCGTAGACCATAGACCGTAGACCGTAGACCATAGACTGTAGACCGTAGACCATAAACCGTAGACCGTAGACCATAGACCATAGATCGTAGACCATAGACCATAGACCGTAGACCGTAGACCGTAGACCGTAGACCGTAGACCGTAGACCGTAGACCGTAGACCTTAAACCCTGGACTCTAGACCCTAAACCCCACACTGTAGATTGTAGAAAGTAGACAGTAAGCAGTAGACAGTAGACAGCAGACAGTAGACAGTAGACAGTAGACAATTAAATCTACCTAAGAGCTACTGGATCTGTATCTTCTGTACGAAGAGAATCAAATCTTATCATTAGATCTTCATCAGCACATTGGAAATCACCTGAACGGAATTTATTAAACTAGAATTTTAAAGAGAGTATTCGCGAAAATGGAAGGGGGTAAAGGCTGATCATGAATTGAGTTGTATAGCAATCACACCTAATTTACTTTTAATGGATGCGTGTATAAAGAGAAAACGACTCATATCGAATAGTGTAGAACCTATGCAAATTCACGAAGTTGCATTATCTTACTGACCCAGGCCGCAGATAATTCAAGTTATAATTGTCGAATTCAATTAGGAGCATTCCTATGTAGTTTAAATATTATAATATTCTTATCTTTTAATATATGATGTACTTTTCAGGACGATCTCTCCCAATTGTAATCCTAGCCTTATCGAATAAATTGTTAAAGAAATTCAAAATTTTTGTTAAAAAGAATTGAATAATACTGCCCAACGCCAAAGTTAAATTGTTAATTTTCAAACTATAAATGATAAAACAAATTGTGTTATAACAACATCAAATGCACATAAGATTGCTTCCTTTTTAAAAACTGAAAATTCAGGATTGTTAAATGTTCGATTTTTAAAAGTCGATTTTGTATTCATTTGTGTTGAATTGGAAGAAAAATCCGTGATATTTAATAAGAAAATCTTCCAATTTCTTACGAACTGTCGGACATTTGATAACTCTCGAAGATACAATGGCTACACCCAGAAAAAATGACAGGTCTTCCTTGAACAGATCAAAGATTGTCAAAAATACGGCATATTTCTCCTTTTTTCTGCATCGTCTTCTTTAAATATTTTCTTATTATGATTTCTGAACACTTGTTATAATTTTAAAGGACTCTTGATATATGAGAAGATCTTGTAGAATACAATTCCAGCTTTTATAATATTAAATTCGTTCCTTATGTAATGTAAAAAGTCAAATATTGTCCAAATATCAGGTTCAAAGTTTGGAAGTTGTGTAAGAAGCAGAGAAAAATTAACAATGCTGGAGAATGGAATTAACTATTTTCTTTATTAAATGTCATGTTAAAACGAGTTTGTAAATATTATTCTCTTTTTGTTTTAACTTTTGATGTTATGTTTTACACTTAAAAAAGCGACTTTGAAAAATCCGCCTCAGTTTACCTCCTGCCAGGGCTTCCGAAACCAGTCTATCCAACCACTCCTGGGGGTCAGGGATACACTGAAAACAAAAAAAAATCCTTTATTCATTTTGATTTTAAATTTTTTACTTTACTTTAAACTTTTAAAATCGTCATTTATTAACTCGTCATTTTTTTTGTATGAAGACGATAAATTTTGATTTTGGAATTTCCAGACTGTGCTTTTTTTAAATATCCTGAAAAGCTTTATCTGAAGATGAACGCTTGAGATATCAGATATTCAACTTTAGTTTAAAAACTGATTGCGGTTTCCCAATTAAATAGCTTGCATTTTTACACTTCAGAAACGATGGAAAATGTTAGGATTAAACACATTTTTGAAAACTAGAAAGAACGAAAATATCTTCCATATTGATCAGATAAAGGTGTAACTAATACATGACACTCTTGAAGCAGAGGATAACTTGAAAAAACGTTTACAGTCCATTTAAAGGGAGTGACCGGCTATGTAAGGTAGTTAAACTAAGTATGCAGTAATGTGGACAAATTTTTAGGATTCATTTGAGACATATAAAACTTTTCCAGGATGTTTAATTACTGAGATTGATTGCATGGTCGACGTTCAAAACCATGAATTTTGGTGGGTACGTTTCAGGATTAAATAACGACGACGAAAAATAAAGTAAAAATTTTACAGTAAACTAATGAGATTGTTAGGAACATATTTCTCAAAAGAAATTTGTCAATAAATAATGCTAGAATAAATTATTTTGTTTTCATCATTATATTGAATTTCTAATTTTCTTTGAATTTATTCGCAGATTTCTTCAAATTCTTCAAATGTCGTTTTTTTCAATAATAATTCCAGAAAATCTACAGAATATCTTTGTGAATAATGAGAAACTAGAATAATGAGAAAATAGAAGCTAATAGTTGAACAAGATTATTTAGTTTCGATGATAAGCTCAATTTTTATTTTCTCAACATGTTCCTAAACAACTAATTAGATTACTTTAGAATTTTGTTTACATTTTTGTCGTCGTTATTTAATAATTAAAACAAAAACAATTCTGAAAATGTATCCACCCAAAAGTACGATTTTGAACGTCGACTTTGCGCTCTAACTCAGGATTTAAAGATATTTAAAAAGTTTTATAAGTCTCAAATGAATCCTTAAAAATTTTTCCACAACACTGCATACTCAGTTCAACTATCTTACATAGCTGGTCTATCCCTTTAAAATTATTTAAAATTTAACCTGAGCGGCGGCTGTTGAAAACAAAAATAAAAGACCTAAATTATTAATCATATTTTTTTCCTCTGCGAAGTGAAACAGACATCTCTTGGATTATATACCCGGCCAGGGGATTAACACTTCAATGTAAATCAAACAGGACATTGAATAAACCTGACGGCGAAACTTTTAAATCTTAAAGTGACTGTCATTGTAATTTACAAGGCAACCTTAACATTTTTAACTGATCAATAATGTGGAAGATAATGACGGTTTTCTAGCTTGAAGGGTGTTTAAATCTGTGACTTTAGCACTAAGGCAGTTTCTTACATTATTATAGACAAAAGGGGACAACTTTATACTTATTAAAGTTTTAAAGCCATTGATTTAAAGGTTTACGCAGTCGCTGAACCTTTAAAAGTTTCGACCATTGTTGAGATTAAAGGTTTTATCATGTCTTTTACAGTGTTGTAATCCATGCTAATTCTATGAATGTAAATCAAACTAAATTTTTGACAAATCTGTTTTTGTTTGTTTAAAAACAAAAATCAAGAACTGAACCACGGGCTTTTAAAGTATGTATTACAAAACATCGTGAAGGGAAAATACTTTGAGAAAAGTTGTTGTATAAGTACATAGATCCAGACTGCTATGTAATATTGTTATATAAGTAAATAGATACAGACTGCTATGAAATATTGTTGTATAAGTACATAGATCCAGACTGCTATGTAATATTGTTATATAAGTACATAGATCCAGACTGCTATGTAATATTGTTGTATAAGTACATAGATCCAGACTGCTATGTAATATTGTTGTATAAGTACATAGATCCAGACTGCTATGTAATATTGTTATATAAGTACATAGATCCAGACTGCTATGAAATATTGTTGTATAAGTACATAGATCCAGACTGCTATGTAATATTGTTGTATAAGTACATAGATCCAGACTGCTATGTAATATTGTTGTATAAGTACATAGATCCAGACTGCCATGAAATATTGTTGTATAAGTACATAGATCCAGACTTCTATAAAAATTGTTGTATAAGTACATAGATCCAGACTGCTATGAAATATTGTTGTATAAGTACATAAATCCAGACTGCTATGAAATATTGTTGTACAAGTACATAGATCCAGACTGCTATGTAATATTGTTGTATACGCACATAGATCCAGACTGCTATGTAAAGTTGCATAATTTTTAAAAATTGGATTGACTTAAAAGTGTTATAGTTTAAGAAAATTTTAATGTTTAGAATAAACAATAATGAACGGAATTAAGTCTTTGCCACCAACTCAAATTTTCAAATTTTTTATCTTTGCAACCCGATGGTTTAAACCTTTGATATTTTAAACTTATATTTTCTGATCCATAGAAATCAACCATAGAATCATAGATTCTGGACAAATTTCCTAATAACTCCGTCAATTTTGTAGGTTTTTTACCTGGTAGTCTACATTTTGGAAATCCTAAGACTGGTAGTTTTCGTTGTTAAATGTTTTAACTGTGATACCACAACATTTTGTTTACGCAATAATCTTGCATGGAACAAAGTCGTAATTAAATTCCTATGTTTATTGGGACACCCTGTATATTGTATTTTCATTCTATCGACTGAAGAATATAAATTAGTGGCTAGAAGTTGGTCTGAATTGAGAAGTGGGAAGAGAGCTGATATTACTAAACTTGAAAATCCACGAAATCTTAATTTCAAACTTTTCATCTTCAATATACAATACAGGGTTATCTACAAAAATTACGAAATTTATTAAGTATTTTTTCTTACAATGGTCTCCAGATATATCAATAGAATTAAGACGACTTTCTATTACAGCTCATTTCAAAAGTCATGGAGATTTATTTAGATCCGTAAAGGCCTTTTCTGAAGAAAGGCTTGCCACGCAGAAAAAACTTTTTGGGACAGAATTGCCAGACCAATTTTAAGCGGAATAAACTATCCGAAATTTTTTTCAACATTTTACACCTAGCCATAGTATTTCTGTGTAGTATTCATTGGGGAAAATTAAGAAAAATTTTGCCATTAATTTCCAGAAGTTTTAGCGGTTTATATTTTTGAAAAACTTTAGGAAAAGTTCCTTAGGCCATGTACTAAACCAAATTGATCCGTTAAAAAGTTAAAACCCTTGACAGTTGTCATCATTAAAAGGTTTATCATTTATTGAAGAGCTATTGAGAAGAAAAAAAATGTATGCCACAAACTCTGATTTTATAATTCCTATATCTTTGGAACCGATTGTCGTAAATCTCTGATATTTCAAACTTATATTATTTGATCTAACAGAATTCATAGTTTGAAATACGGAGAAAGGTTGAAATATCTAAGGTCTACGACATTGGAATCCAAAGATATAGGATTTAGAAAAGCAGAGTTTGTGGCAAAGACTCAATTCCTCTATGCTGCATGTACCCCCTATATCCTCCACCCACCCTTAGGGATTACTTTCGACATGGAGAAACTCAAATTTAGGTTTAAAATATATCCACATTTATTTATTGATATGGGGTGTACAAGAAAAAAACTATCTTTTCAAAAGGAGTGTTTTTTAATAAACACTCTATTCCGAATTAAATGAAAGTTTTATATATCTTGGAGTAAAACGAGGCAGGACAACAAATTTAAGATTGAATTTTTTGGGACACTCTGTTCAAAATTTGGAAGTGAAATAAAAACAATCTCTATATTTTGTTGTATAGTTGACAGACTTATCCAACCGGGGCTTACTTAAGGAAGGGCGTCTGAACGTGTTTGATGCTTTATCAATAGTTTTAAAAAACTCGATTTATAAATTTATTGATAAATCTTTTAAAAAAAAAATTTGGAAAATTGTTTTGAAGTTTTGAAAAGTTGTGTTGAAAAGGCGTTTTTAAAATCAGGTTGAAAAAGCGTTCATAATAAGTTTATCTCCTCGGTCGATCACAGTAAAAGCAAACCAATATAACATACAATTTAGAAATTTTAAAAACATTTTAGATTCATGTACGCCTTAGCTGAATAATCCGGTTTATTTAAACTCCCAAATAGACTATTAGACAGCTGGAGCAAGCTGTAGAGATATCCTTTAATTAGATGGCAAAATGGGACGGTAAACCAAAGGAATTCTCCCCTCTATTGAGTAGTGTCGCAGTCATATTAAAAGTTAAAAAAAATGTGTAAAGACGGACAATGTAAAGATGCCCATCCTTAGGGCTTAGTGTTCTGTATATTCAATTGCTAGGTGTGAACTAAACATTATTTACAAATATACAGGTAGGCAGAAAACAATATAACGCGGGATTATAATGTCGTCTTCCTCAATTATTTAGGGATTTTGAAAAAACTAGTTTGGAATGAAATTATTGCCGTCTCGTGGTAAAGTCAAAGATAATATATATATAGATATGCAGGCAGGTAGAAACCTCCTTTCCAAATTGCTTGTAGCAGACAACTAATTTTTGAACCTAGCTCTGAGAAAATGTGCAAGGAGAGACATCTATAGCAAATTGATTACTTTCTATATTCCTTTCTTTACCTCAGTTTTATTTGCATTGATTAATTTGTTTCATTAAGTACAATATGCAGTATACATTGTTGATACTATAGTACGCATTGTGTTATCACGCATAAACAAAGTGATAAATTAGCAACAATCCAGAGGATAAAATGCCATGCGTACGACAGAGATGGTGCTGTTTGCACATTTTCTCAAGACCTCAAATTTATACCTGCCTGCATATCTATATATATATTATCTTTGGGTAAAGTCTTTTATTTCTAAACGTTGCCAAGAATTTTCTTAATTGTGAAATGTAATGTTATCACAACAATTATTTAAGTTAAACGAAGTATTCCAATGTCTCTGTCAACAGGATGTTGTTAGAAAGGATATTTGGAAACTTTGTTATTAAAATCGGAAAATCGATAAGCCATTTTGAGAAAAGTTGATTAATTGATTAAAAATATGTTTGAAATAATTTCTCGTTCTTATAAAGAGTATTAAATAAAAAAATATAAAAGAACTCAGTTTTAAATTCATTATTTATATTACTTGTTTTTAATAAAAGCTAGTTTAAAACAGAATTATTCTTTACTTTATCTTTTGATTAGATGTGGCTGTATTAGAATTTTATTAAATGTATAATATAACTATATTATTAACTTTGTAAAAATATGCACCGAACAATATCCGATTCCGAACAGTTTTTAAAAGACTATCAAAACTTAATAAAAAAGTTGTTTTTTTTTGAAAAAAGAACAAGATGGCCTTCGCAGTAATTTTTCTAAAATAAAAACGGAAAATTTGTGCACCAACCACCAACACATTTTCAATCAATTTTTTGTTTACAAAATGTTAAATGATGAATATTTTTCAAACTATTCTAAACTATTACTAAAGACCGAAATTTAAAATTACAAGTCTGTTGTTTGAATTTAATAAATGTTCAATTAATACGACTTTTTTCCTCTATTAATATAGAAGAAGAAGAAAGATGATTTTAAACTGAAATAAAACATTATCAATGCTTTTTATTTTTATTTCAAAATGAAAGGGCATACACCGGTTTTTACATAAACAAATAAATAATAATATACATTATGGAAGGGGGGAGAAAGGGTGTGGCAAATATAGAAAATACAATATTATGTACATAGAAGATGTTAGAAAAAGAAGAAATGTAAAATAGTTTTAAACAATGATATTGAAGAATAAGAATAAAGAGAGAATACAAAATCAATACTGAATGTAGGTAAGATTTGAACATTACTGTGCTCCAGCTAAAATTATTAGATATGTAAATGTTTAACTGTATATAACATACTATTTACAATTATCATCTTAAATGCACAATGGGTGCAAAAAAAGAATAAACTACAACAAAATACTTAATGAAAGGTAATTGGTTGAGATGGTGCTAGGCATCCCACCTGGCGGCGGTTTTTTGAAAATATAAGAGTGCGTATTACTCCATCTAGCGGTGACTTAATTAAACTTCTCGTAGGCCTGGATAGCCTGGTCTACAATAGATGCCATTTGGTTCAGTGTTGCAGCATCTAGGGATCTTCCTTCCTTCCCCTGAAATATAAATATTTTGTAAACAGGAAATGTCACCTGGACTGGACCCCTTATTTTGGGTCGGGTGGTGAGAGAAATTATTTTAAAGAAAAAAAGAAATTATTTTTTTTCAGGAAAAAATCAAAGAATAAACAACGGGCAAGTTTTCCCCTGTTCGATACTGTTTACCAACATTTATTTTTCTATTTTCTCCTATTCAGAAAAAAATCCCTAATAAAACCTTCCAATTATTTGGGCAGAAAGGATTTGAATGGAGTGAAGGGAAACAACCATACCAAAAATTTAAAACAAAAAAATTTCCGCGGCATTTGATCTTAGATATGTAATACGACATTATAAAAAGCTCTTGCTGTATATTCATATATCTGGGATGCACTGCATACTAAAAATTAATTACCGTGATAACTTTGATCTGGTCTCTGATGAGGGCCCCTGTGTTTTCCAGAACCTGCAGTTTAATAAAAGTAAATTATCAACATAATTTCATTATATTTTTTTGAATTTTATCAATCGTGTCTAAATAGAGATTTAATTTGGCATTTATGACATTATGTGATAGTTCTCGTAAACCCCCGGATTTGTCTCATATTGCGAAGATTTTTAGGTAGATTATTTTTTAAATAAAATGTGGATTTAAGTTGTCATTCTCAGAAAAATTCAAATAAATAATTCTGCTAACATTGATTGAGAGGTGCCATGGTTGATCCTTTTACTAAACTAACCTGAGATACATTAGGGAAGAGTTGGATATTAAGAAGATTGGATACAAGCAGAAGGACGGATACAAGGATCATAGCGTTAAAGAAATATCCAGTCAGGTCTGTGTATTCGAATTCTGTATCTACAGCAAATCTACCATTCTCCTGTAGAATCAACGATTATTATAATTTAATCAACATTCTCCTGTAGAATCAACGAATATTATAATTTAATTAGCATTCTCCTGCAGAATCGACGAATATTATAATTTAAACAACATTCTCCTGTAGAATCAACGAATATTATAATTTAAACAACATTCTCCTATAGAATCAACGAATATTATAATTTAATCAACCTTCTCCTGTAGAATCAACGAATATTATAATTTAATCAACATTCTCCTGCCGAATTAACGAATATTATAATTTAATCAACATTCTCCAGTAGAACCAACGAATATTATATTTTAATCACCATTCTCCTGTAGAATCAACGAATATTATATTTTAATCACCATTCTCCTGTAGAATCAACGAATATTATAATTTAAACAACATTCTCCTGTAGAATCAACGAATATTATAATTTAATCAACATTCTCCTGTCCCCCCCAATTAATTAGGGTTAACTTGAAAAAAAAATCGTTTTATTAAAAGCACAAAAAAATATTTAAAAGTAAAGATAATATTTTTCTTCACTTTTAAATAATTATAGAAAGTATTTAAGAAAGCAAGGAACCAATTATATACATACTAATATTAAGTTAGTTTCAGAGATTAGATGAAGTTAGAGAAGGGGGGGGCACCTGATGCCCCCCCCCTTAATTAGGGTTAACTTGAAAAAAAAATAGTTTTATTGAAAGCACAAACAAATAGTTAAAAGTAAAGATAAGATTTTTCTACATTTTTAAATAATTATATAAGTAATAAAGTAAGCAAGTAACAAATTAAAAATATTTCCGAATATTCAATAATTGAAAATCGACTGGAATGCGATTGATTGATTGAATAAATGGGTGTTTATTGATTGATGTTATAAGTAATAAAGTAAGCAAGTAAAAAAGTAAAAATATTTCCAAATTGTAAGGAATATTTTATAATTGAAAATCGACTGTAATTCGATTGATTGATTGATTAAATAAATAGTTTGATGTTATAAGAGTTAAGATACAAAACTTGGATTAGAGCAAACTTTAGAATGGGAATACATACAGGCACAGATAGATAGATAGATAGATAGAAAGATGCAAGGTTATAATGCATTATAACCTTGGATAGATAGATAGATAGATAGAAAGAAAGATACTTCGATAGAAATTTATATGGATACAGTAATAACCAGAAAATTGTAGAATATGACGTCGACATTAAAGACATATTAAAGTGCATCTGATGTTGTTATAAAGCAGAAAGCTTCAGTAGTAACTTATTAAATCGATTATTAGTCTGTTTACATTGGACAATTGCTGTGATTCATGTTCTATGGACTGCTTAAAGTTATATATTAGATAGATAGATAGAAAGTTAGAAAAACAGATAATTGTAATAATAAGTATTATAATAATGATAACAGTGATGATAATAATACCTGAGAAACATCTAGCTTGGCGTTAATATCCGGAGCATACTCTCCTGCTCCGACCTTATCTCCGATCTCAACGGAGAAGGATGGGATGGTTCGAACCTCCTGCTGCTGAGGCAAGGCGGAGATCAGGGGTAGAAGCGTGAACAGAAGACAGAACATTCTAGAATATAAAAGTTGGATTAGTTTAAAGGGAGTGTTTACAAAAAATGAATTAGGCCACACTTAAACAGAGGAAAAAGGTCAAATTTTAGGTATCGTTTTTACTCACAAGCATTACAACACTAATAATTAGATCAAATAATCAAAGTTTGAAATATCAAGGGTTTACACCATCAGGTTGCAAAGATATAGGAATATGAAACCAAATATTGTTCTTAATCTTCTGTAAAATTAACTCTAGAGGAACTGCGAGGATTTTACATCAAAGTGTATAAAAGCAAAGTTATTTGTTAACTACCTACTAGAGGTTTAAAAGCTTATAAAAAAGATGAATTTTGATTGAAAACATGTAATAAAACAATCTCACCGAAATATATATAAAACATGTTCTTTTAGTAAATTCCATTTCTAAACAATGTCTTTTGAGCAATTTTGCTTTTCTTAGCACAGATAGAACATGCTGTAAAGTTTTATTTTGTATAGTTGTCAAAAAGAAAAAAAAAATTCGGGTTTAAAATAAAACTAGAGAAATTATGAGGTCTGCTTAACGTTCCTATCAATAATTCCGGATAAACTCCAGCACTCCACTCGGCACAAGGAAAATTAGGACTCACGCGACAATACTACTACGACATAGTGACCTCATAGCACTCTAATTTTAATTTTAAGTAAGAGAAAAGCGAATAAAGTGAAAACATAACGTGAAGTTTAATTTGAATTGACGTTGTATCAGTTTCTATGTGTTTGACCTGGTTTCTAATTATGATCCTATCTGGTTGACCATTAACAAGCTAATGCAAGTTGACCCTCAGGTCAGGGTTGAAATAAACCCTAAGAAGAGATGTAAGGACACGAGTAACCTTTTAATTTGTAATGAGATAATTATAATATAATATATTGTTGAAAAGAAAATCATCATAAAATGTGTATATCTTTCTTTAGAATATATCTTTACATGCATCTTCCTTTAGAATATATCTGTACATACATCTTCCTTTAGAATATATTTTTACATACATCTTCCATTAGAATATATGTTTCCATACATCTTCCTTTAGAATATATCTTTACATACATCTCCTTTAGAATATATCTTTACATACATCTTCCTTTAGAATATATATTTGCATACATCTTCAATTAGAAAATATGTTTACATACATCTTCCTTTAGAATATATGTTTACATACGTCTTCCTTTATAATATATGTTTACATACATCTTCCTTAACAATATATGTTTACATACATCTTCCTTTAGAATATATGTTTACATACATCTTCCTTAACAATATATGTTTACATACATCTTCCTTTAGAATATCTGTGTACAGACACCTTTCATTAGAATATATGTTTTTCCTTGACAACATATGCTTACAGACATTTTCCTTTAGAATATATGTTTACAATTTAAATAATGTTTCTTTAAATATGTCAATAATGTCACTAGATACTGATAATAATATTCTTAAACTCTCGTCTTTATGTTTGGTTGTTTTGATTGGTTGGCCCATTATAAGCGAATAAGAATTGTTAATAAATAGATGGATGTACACTGTACAGTGTACTTTTTAAACAAAACAATGATGATAAATCATGAATAAGGTAAGGAGGGGATGAAAAAGTATAAGTGAAAGGGTGGGGGTACTCAGCGGAAAGGTTGTAACAGAGGGTAACATATATTACTAGAATCATGTTTATGAATTACAGGGTGAAGAAGATAGCTAAGACTAAGTTTCTCCACATGCAAAACAGCTATTTTTTACAGATATAACTTGCATCACTGGTACGGTACTTTCATTACTTGTACGTTACTTGCATTACTGGTATGGTACTTGCATAACTGGTACGGTACTTGCATTACTGGTACGGTACTTGCATAACTGGTACGGTACTTGCATTACTGGTATGGTACTTGCATTACTGGTACGGTACTTGCATTACTGGTATGGTACTTGCATTACTGGTACGGTACTTGCATTACTGGTACGGTACTTGCATTACTGGTACGGTACTTGCATTACTTGGTACGGCTTTGGGACCTAGTACCTCCTCTAGTTTTGATTTTACACATAAGTACGAGATAAACAAATTTAATCAGTTACATAATGGTTACATAATGGTTTCATAATGGTTAAATAACAGAAATTCAAATAATTCATAATATTACAATTGTCATGTTCTCGTTAATAAAAGTTTGAGGAGGAAGTTATTCAAAAGAAGTTATTATTGAAATATCATAAGATTTTAACTTATAGTGAAATTTACTTCAGCTTGACGTGGTTACGTGGTACATGAAGGGTTCGGGTCGTTTTTTGAAAAAAATGGGTCACAATGAACGAACCACTCGTTTTGAACCTTTAAAAAGGAAAAGCAAAAAAAGAAACAAAAAAACCGATTGTTTTCGACAAATTTTTCACTGATGAATCTGATTTTTTTATGACAATTAATTAAATTTTTTTTTGTTTTTTTATCGAGAGAAATAACCTGAATGTTTTCCGACCTAAAGTTTTTTTGGTCAAAGGGTTTTCCGACAAATAATGTATTTTGTCTAAAAACGGACGTTAATGGTCGTTAACGAAGGGTTGTCGTTTACGATCGTCAAAAATTAAAAACGACTTACCTTCGTTAACAAAATGACGAACTAAAAACGACTTCTTCTTTTTTTGATTTAAAAACCCGATCTTTTTTAAAAACGGCAGCTCCGTTTTTCGTTTTTTTTCGTCGTTTTTGAAATCAAAAGATTGAATTAAAAAAAAGTGAAAACGTGCACATTTTGAACCAAATACATAAAGATAAATGCTAAATAAAATTTTATGCATTTTTTTGCAAAGAGATTATGGACTCAAAGGGGAATCACGGCACTTATATCCTTGAAGGATCATTTATATTCATCACGACATTCTTGGTTTTATACATTTTTAATTCAACTCAGAAAAAAGAAATTGTAAATTTTATATTTTTCATGCTAAATCTTTGAAGTCAAGGAATAAAATGTGGATAATGCACCAGGAAATATTAAATTTTTCATTTTCTGAGTTTAAGAGACTGTTAGTGTAATTTTAAGTACTCCTTAAAGCTGGCAATTCACAACGATACCCTTAAAAGCATTGTCCGATTAAGTTTGAATTAAATATCAATGTTTTTAATTTTGAAAACTGATTATTTTTTATTTTGGGTTTACATAATAAGTGAGTTCTGGAGTTCTGTTGCTCGAAAATACTTTTAAGGTCTAGAAAAACGACAATATCCTACACATTCTGGATCAGATAAACGTTTCAAGGGTACCATTGTGAATCGGATAGTGTCATAAATTTGCTTAACTTGTAAAAAAAATAAAATAAAATAAGATTGTGATGAAAATGTTAAAAATTAGAGTGTAACCTCCAATTCTCTCTCTGAGTATATACCTCAATGTTTTTTGTTCAATAAAAATAAGAAAAAGTATTGATATAGCTTTATTTTATTTTCTAAACTAACTCTATAAATACAATAAAATATAGTAAACGTAAAAAATCACAGCCCTTGAGTAATCAAAAAAATAAAAAATCTTTAGAATTGATTAACTCATTTCAATAAAATCTACAGAATTGATTAACTCATTTCGTTAAAATCTACAGAATTCATTAAATCCTTTCATTAAAATCTACAGAATTTATTAGCTCATTTCATTCAAATCTATAGAATTAATTAACTCATTTCATTAAAATCTATAGAATTGATTGAATCATTTCGTTAAAATCTACAGAATTGATTAAATCATTTCATTAAAATCTACAGAATTAGTTATCTCATTTCATTCAAATCTACAGAATTGGTTAACTCATTTCATTAAAATCTATAAAATTGATTAACTCATTTCAATAAAAAGAGTGATTTCTTTGTTCTTCTGCTAAATCAAACTTTAAAAAAAAATTTTTAATTACAAAACCAAAACAAAAAATAAAAAAATTTCTGGCTTTAAAAATTTGTGAGAAATCCATATTCGATGAAATTCGAAATGTTTTAAGTTGACTTTAGGAACAGGTTCAGCTGTGACACCATGACCATGATTCTATAATAGACAAATAATGGTATATTTCATTCATTGTTTGTAATTCTGGGCACAATGCCTTTTTCCCCTGAATGTTTACTTGTTTACTTAAATAGCAAATTTTCAGTTGAAATTATACTTCAATTGCTTTCAATAGAAAGGAATCACACAGTCGAATTTTCTAATCCCTGTTAACTTTTGATATTTTAAATTCAAATTATTTGATCTAACAGAATTCATAGTTTGAAGTATCTAAGGACTACCACTTTGGGTTGCAAAGATATATGGATTAGGAAATCAGAGTTTGTGGCAAAGAATCAATTTCTTTGTCAATAATGTGACGTTTCTTAACATTTTGTAAAATTGAAATCACGAAGTAGTGAACAGAATATGTAAAATCACATAAATAAACATTTTATTGCTGCATGAGAGATACATGTCTAAAATTACGGGGGTTTCTTGAGCAAAGGAACTGAATAATGATAATAGTTTGATCAATTATAGGCAGCTGTAAAAACAAATAAAAAATTATTTCTGTCAAAAAAAAAGACAGATATTAAAGGAACTGTAAATGTGATTTCACGTGTCAGTCTATGCAAAGAGGGCCCAATTTACTACGGTTTGCGTGTTCGTCCTGTACAGATTTATGTGTGTGTAAACTTATCAAAACCCGCATGTATTCTGTTATGCACAGTCTGAACTCAACACAGCGTACACGTGTACAGAGATATGTGTGTGTAAACTTATCAAAACCCGCATGTATTCTGTTACGTACAGTCTGAACTCAACACAGCGTACACGTGAGAGTTATGTGTGTGTAAACTTATCAAAACCCGCATGTATTCTGTTACGTACAGTCTGAACTCAACACAGCGTACACGTGAGAGTTATGTGTGTGTAAACTTATCAAAACCCGCATGTATTCTGTTACGTACAGTCTGAACTCAACACAGCGTACACAAAATTTTCAGTGGAAAACAAGCAGTGTTCTCTTTGCATGGATAGTCATTTAAAATTACACCTACAGTTCCTTTTATTTGATTTTGAATTTACTTTCTTACTACCTCAATACCTTTGCATTTAGTTCTAGGAGCTAATGAATACAATTGGATGGCTACATTTGATATTAACAAAAACCACAAGTTTTTAGAAAATTTCGACGTAATTCACAACAAACATTCCAATGTTTTTGTTTTTCTCCGTAAATATGGAGGGTCATGAATAGAAATTACTTTTACAGTCTATTTAAAGGGCACTTAGTTTTTGACAGCAGCTTAAACACCAACTTTATAAATAACAGGAAATATTGATAACAACAACATTATAATAACAAAACTTGAAATGATAACAAAATTGAGTATTGGTATAAAGCATTTTTAATTCTTTTTTATTGCCAATAACAATTTAATTATTAGCAATTAAAAACAACATTTCGAGATGAAAAATAGTCAAATTTTGAGCTAGAAAATCTCAAATGGTTAATTTATCACAAAATATTTAGTATTTTATTAAAGGGAGAGTAGACCTATAATTTCTGGTGAATATCCAGTTAAAGAGAATACTTTCAAGCCAATTTTACAAAGATACCCTTTAATTGTTTTGTGAAAAAATAAGATATCATTGTTTTTTCTTTCTGAAAACTAGTAATGTTCAATTGAAGGTTCTTTATAAAAATTAAAGGAGACTATTAGAATTTAAGACAGACAAACTATGGAAAATGGTTTATAGGGTATCAGTGTGAATCAATCATGAAACTCTGTTAACGGGGGTCACTTGTAATTGCGTCTCCGTTCCCTTTAAACAACAGAGTCAGAGTTTTTTTCTGAATAGTTTGAAAACATTCCCTCCTGCGTGAGAACCTGTTCTACCTCTATTCCTGCAGGTCCAGATTGTTTAACAAAACCACCGATAGGTGGCAGAGTTGACACTGGCGCTTTATAATCAGGCGGCAGTGAGTTATACTTTGATTCTGCTTTTTCAAATCCCTTCATAGCAAGGGATAGTGGTGGATTAGAATGACTGTAAAGGCTTGGGGACGAGGCTTCCTCTGGGGTTAAATCACTTGTTAATGCTTCTGTTCTACGAGATGTTAATAAACTAAGACGATTTGGATCAGTGTACACTTTGTCGTCAATTCGCTTGAGATGATGTCGAAACACTTTAGATCGTCGATTTTCTCGGACTACATCTTTACCCCGGTCGACAGGTTCGCTGGGGTCATCTCGGGTCAAGGTCGAGGATGGTATGGGGGTCAAGGTTGAGGAGGGTATGGGGGTCAAAGGGTCGCTAGAGTTCAAAAGAGATCTAGGGGTTATACTCGGAGCCCTGCTTTAGAGCTTTTAGATGCAACTGTTTAAAGTATCCAATTTGTTCCCTATATCGAACTATCGAAAAGCATTTCACATTTTTGTTACAAATTGTGTTCATACATTATTACATCCCTAACGGTATGTTCCTAGTTATGAACAAAATGTGAGTAGTTTCGAAAACTATGCTTTCTATAAGTCAACCAATTATGCAAAAATGTATGCGACATTACTGGTATAACTTTGTGACCTCGTAGCTCCTCTTATAGTTTATGAGATTTTAATTAAAGAAAATCAAAGAAAGAAGCTGAGCAACCAACTCTAATTTTTCAAAATTATATCTTTACAGCCTACGTCATAAGGTTGCAAAGATATCAAGAAGTTCTGCTACAGGGTGTCCCAAAAAACATGGGAATTCAGTGACGAATTCGATATTGTCTTTGTTATGAATTAGCATTGTAATACCTAATTTCAAAAGCCATAATATTATTATGTCTGCTAGAGTTTATTTTATGAAAAGGGTAAAAGACTTTCCGCCTAAATGTAAAGATTTAAAAGAAATAATTTGGAACATTTCCATCTAAAGCTTTCCTAATCACAATATCATCTTTCTCAGAGAAACCCTTTGAACCATCTGAAAATATAAATTTTATCTAATCTTTATTGAAGATTACGTTTTATTCAAAATTCTCTAGATGGATTTAATGTGGTCATATTAAAGGGACTTTATGTACTTTCAATTAGGACTCCCTTTTTTTGTTGCTTGAGCAAAATAATGGAGTTATTTCTTTTTTTCTATCTAAAATGCGAGCGAAAATTTTCTCATTTTTTGAGCGAAATTTCGCTGAAAACCCTTTATGAGACCAGTGTAATGTTCCTTTTTCATTTGTAAATTTACAACCTATTTGTAAATTGACATATATAAGTAAATTGTAAAATGTATGTAATTCAATGTAAATTTAGACGTTTATGGATAAAAATAAACTAGTATATGAAGGATTTGTAAATTGTAAATTCTTAATTGTATAATGGCATTTTTTTGTAAATTGTAAATTGTAAATTGTAAATTGTAAATTGTAAATTGTAAATTGTAAATTGTAAATTGTAAAAAATTGTAAATTGTAAACTGTAAACTGTAAATTGTAAATTGTAAATTGTAAATTGTAAATTGTTAATTGTAAATTGTAAATTGTAAATTTTAAATTGTAAATTGTAAATTGTAAATTGAATAATTGTAAATTGTAAATTGTAAATTTTAAATTGTAAATTGTAAATTGTAAATTGTAAATTGTAAGTTATTCCCATATCTGGTGTGTATTTTACCAGATAATGATATACTTGATTCTCCTAAATAGTTGGCTGTCGAACCTCAAAAATACATTTTCTTTTGTTTTTAAAGGGAGTGTTCGCTATAAATAAAAGGGGGCAAGGCTGAATCCCTTTCAAATTAAATTATTATGAATTTTAATAGAATTTAGTCTAAAGGGAGTTTAGGTATTTTATTTTTATTAAAAATTCCCTGTCAATCATGTTTTAATGATGATGAAATATCTAAATGAAGTTAAATGTTTTTCTTTGTAAAGAAAATGTTGAAATTTAGAAAGTATATATGCTAGTTAATTAATTTTATTGACTGAGGAAGCTGTAAAAATGGGGGGATTGGAATACCCCCCCCACCCCCCTCCCCTTAAGTTGGGATATCATTTATAAAGTTGTAATGATAGTAAAAATAAACGGGACGCAAGAAAAAAATGTAGAGATTACCATGTTACCTGGACTTCTGGCTTTTCTAGAAATTTCTTGGATTTTCTCTTGATTAGAAGCGTTTCCATCTTTGTACAATTCTTTGACTCTAGCTTGAAGTTTGGCAATATCAACCTCAACTACCACCTATATACAGTTTATAATTATATTCTTGCTTGAAGTTTGGCAATATCAACCTCAACTACCACCTATACAGTTTATAATTTTATTCTTGCTTGAAGCTTGGCAATATCAACCTCAACTACCACCTATACAGTTTATAATTTTATTCTTGCTTGAAGCTTGGCAATATCAACCTCAACTACCACCTATATGCAGTTTATAATCATATTCTAGCTTGAAGTTTGATAATATCAACCTCAACTACCACCTATATACAGTTTATAATTATATTCTTGCTTAAAGTTTACAGTTTATAATTATATTCTTGCTTAAAGTTTGGTAATATCAACTTCAACTATCACCTATACAGTTTATAATTATATTCTTGCTTAAAGTTTGGCAATATCAACTTCAACTATACCACCTGTACAGTTTATAATTATATTCTTGCTTGAAGCTTGGCAATATCAACCTCAACTACCACCAATATACAGTTTATAATTTTATTCTTGCTTGAAGCTTGGCAATATCAACCTCAACTACCACCTATATACAGTTTATAATTATATTCTAGCTTGAAGCTTGGCAATATCAACTTCAACTACCACCTATATACAGTTTATGATTATATTCTTGCTTGAAGTTTGGTAATATAAACCTCGACTACCACCTATAAACAGTTTATAATTATATTCTTGCTTGAAGTTTGGTAATATCAACTTCAACTACCACCTATATACAGTTTATAATTATACTCTAGCTTGAAGTTCGACAATATCAACCTCAACTACCACCTAAACAGTTTAAAATTATACTCTAGCTTGAAACTTGGCAATATCAACCTCAACTACCACCTATATACAGTTTATAATTATATTCTTGCTTGAAGTTTGGCAATATCAACTGCAACTACCACCTATATACAGTTTATAATTATATTCTAGCTTGAAGCTTGGCAATATCAACCTCAACTACCACCTATACAGTTTATAATTATATTCTAGCTTGAAGTTTGGTAATATAAACTTCAACTACTACCTGTACAGTTTATAATTATATTCTAGCTTGAAGTTTGGTAATATAAACCTCAACTACTACCTGTACAGTTTATAATTATATTCTAGCTTGAAGCTTGGCAATATCAACCTCAACTACCACCTATATACAGTTTATAATTATACTCTAGCTTGAAGCTTGGTAATATCAACTTCAACTACCACCTATACAGTTTATAATTATATTCTTGCTTGACGTTTGGCAATATCAATTTCAACTACCACCTATATACAGTTTATAATTATACTCTAGCTTGAAGCTTGGCAATATCAACCTCAACTACCACCTATATACAGTTTATAATTATACTCTAGCTTGAAGTTTGGCAATATCAACTTCAACTACCACCTATATACAGTTTATTATCATACTCTAGCTTGAAGTTTGGCAATATCAACCTCAACTACCACCTATATACAGTTTATAACTTTACTCTAGCTTGAAGCTTGGTACTACCACCTATACAGTAGGGTAAAAGAAAAATGTTAAATGAAACATATTTTTTATAATTTCTATTAGACGTTTCCAGTGTGAAATTAATTAAAAAAAACTTTAAATCAATTTTTTATTTCAAAAGCTCATTACAGACTTGTTACCCTTTTAAGCCATAAATGAATTATTTAAAAAACTTGTTTTTAATGGTTTGCGGTCCTTAATCTGGCATAAAAGAAAATAAAAATTGACATAAATTTTAAAACATTTAATGGTCAATGCACTTATTTCAACATCAAGAACTAAAACTTTTTGCATAAAAACATTATTAGACACTCATAAAACTGCTAAAACTAAATGTCGTCTTCTTTTTCCGCATATTTTTTCACTCCCTCTGTATTTGGGCAATTATAAACCATACCTGGCGTTTTAGATCAGCTAAGCGTTGATTTTTGTCTTCTAGTTGTAGAGTTAAACTTTCAATCTAAATTGTTCCAAAGTATAATTATACGGACTGTACGAGTGTAAGTATAATTTCAAGTGGTCCTTCATGCATAGAGATGGAAACACCTGATTCAGAACGGTTCCCTTAAAGTATGAATTCAATATCAATGTTTATAATTATGAAAATTGACTTGCGCATTTCTACTGCAGGAAAACATAAAGGAAATATTAGAATAAAACATTCTAAACGACAATATCTTCCACATTTTTAATCAGATACAGGTTTCAAGGGTAGCTTTGTGAATAGGTTATTGTCATCTTTGGATGGACGCCCACTTGAAAAAAAGCTTTGCAGTAATTAAATGTTACGAATGCATAAAAAAAGATCTTTTCCAAATAAACTGATTAATCGCAACAAATTTCCCAGGAAAGGTTTATGCTCAGAATTTCAAAAAGTTGTCTCCAAAGATGTCTGATTTTGTAGAATTTTGAAAATCCACAAACAAATATTATTTATTCTGCAATTCGAAGTTGAAATATAAAGGTGGCAGGGTTTCTATTTCCAACTTTGACTATAAAAACTAGTCAAATTATTTTTTTGGGGAATTTTGGGAAAGGTCTATTACAACATCATATTACACAAGATATAAAGATAAAAACATCTGAGTTTGTGGCGAGTAATTAATTCACTTTTGCCCCCGTCTTATAACTAAATCCTGTGTACGCCCCTGTACCTGGTTCTCCATCTGTATCCTGTCCCAGGCCCTCTGCTGCACCATCTCTCTCTCCCTCTCCTCCCCCTTCTTCACCTTCTTCTCTAGATCTCGCAATCTCTCCTGACTTACGTCATACTACAATAGTAATAATAAACCATCTCTCTCCCTTCTCCATATTCTTCTCTAGATCTAACAAGCTCTCCTGACCCACGTCATACTACAATAGTAATAATAAACCATCTCTCTACCCCTTCACATTCTTCTCTAGATCTAACAATCTCTCCTGACCCACGTCATACTAAGATAGTAATAATAAACCATCTCTCTCCCTTCTCCATATTCTTCTCTAGATATAACAATCTCTCCTGACCCACGTCATACTACGATAGTAATAATAAACCATCTCTCTACCCCTTCACATTCTTCTCTAGATCTAATAATCTCTCCTGACCTACGTCATACTACAATAGTAATAATAAACCATCTCTCTACCCCTTCACATTCTTCTCTAGATCTAACAATCTCTCCTGACCCACGTCATACTACAATGGTAATGATAAACCATCTCTCTACCCCTTCACATTCTTCTCTAGATCTAACAATCTCTCCTGACCTACGTCATACTACAATAGTAATAATAAACCATCTCTCTTTCTCCCTCTCCTCTCCCTTCCCCACCAATTCTTCTTTAAAGTATATAAAGTAGTAATCTCTGTCAGTTTGTATGAACCCGAAGACCGATTTGCCAAAATTTTCATTGGAGAATAGTGCAGATACAGTACATGACAGGACATTACAGTACATGACAGTACAGTACAGGAAATTACAGTTCAGGACAGTTCAGTACAGTATAGCACAGATAATTAAAGTATTTTTAAAGATTGAACAAAAATATTCATCCGTTCCAAAAATTAATTTCACTTTATATAACATACTTTTACCCAAGGTAGACTTGCCTATCTACCTACCTACCTGCCATCTTCCTACCTACTTACCTATCTACCTACCTACCTGCCATCTACCGACCTACTTACCTATCTACCTAACTTCTTACCTATCTACCTACCTACCTGCCATCGACCTACCTGCTTACCTATCTACCAACCTACTTACCTATCTACCTACCTACTTACCTGTCTACCTACCTACCTGCCATCTACCTACCTACTTACCTATCTACCTACCTACTTAACTATCTACCCAACTACTTACCTATATACCTACCTACTTACCTATCTACCTACCTATCTGCCATCTACCTACCTACCTGCCATCTACCTATCTACCTGCCATCTACCTACCTGTAGCTCCCCATCTTTCTACTACACATATATGAAAAAGTATTAAAGCTCTTTATATATGGGTTAACCCAGAACTTTGGAGACATAAGAGTATCTGCAGTATTCCATTATCAGTAGGTTTAGAAAACGACATTTTATTAATTTTTTTGATGGCTCCGAATTTCTGGGTTGAACCAAATAGATTGTAGTACAATAGATAGCAACGTAGAATTGGTACACTCTCAGTACAGCTGTAGTCTGACGTCACAAGTGTCAACTTAGTTTTTGTGTCCGACAAAATTATTAATGAGAGTGATAGTTTTAGAATAAAGTGCTTATCTTATAATAAAATAAGTGCAATTTTATGTGTTCCTTATTTTCTGTTTTTGCACTTTTTTATTTCATCTAGGAAAACATGTCAACTAATGTGAGAAGAGACAATTTTGTTTTCCTTGCTATATTTGACACTTGTGACGTCATGTATAATTGGTCCATGACTCTGCTGCCACCTATTGTACTTGATAATCTATCTGTGTTAAACTGTTTGTACCTCTAGTTTTAGAATCCTTAGTTTCTCTTTGAGCAATTCTTCTGTAGATGCTACTTGTCCCTGCAGGGTTACAGAAAACTGAAGTTCTAAATTTAAAAAAAACATTGCTATAGATGACAGTCCCTTTAATAACTGTGACAAATGTACTATTTTCATCTTACAAAATTTGTTGGTAGGACCGGAGACAAATTCAACTAGTAGCATCATTCTTAAAATTTTGTTGAATGACAATTATCATTGATCAACATTTAAAGAATTTGAATTTAGCTCCGGTAAAAGATATACCAAATAAATATGAAATTTCAATTATTACGTATAGTTTACAGCGATTTAATTAGTTTTATTTATAAATATATATATTGGTTTTAAAAGATTATCTACCGTTTGTAAATCCCAGAAACAGATTTTCTACATTATTATATAGGACTTCCTTATAGTACATCATTCGTGAAACTGTGGAATAGGAAGACGACATTTCCATGTTAATTTGACTATTAGTCCGTCGTCTTTCACAGTTTTATTTATATCACTGTATTTCTAAGCTGTAGAGCCAGTTGTTGTACTTTGGTCTAATAAAAATATTAATAAAATTGAAGTCAGATTTCTTGCAGCCGGTGCTCCTTGTATCCAAAGAGAATAGAATATATATTAGAGGGGAATTTAGAGAATCCTTCGATATGAAATTTTTCAGTCACTTTCAGCCTGAAAGGGAGTTCAAAGTGTACAAATCATGTAAATGTTCACAAATTATAAGCAGTAGAGTACATTATTACAGTATGTTCCCTGGACTATTCATTTCAATTTCGAATTTTTAAATGTGAAATGATCATTGGTCAATTATGAAACCAGCCTATTTCATAATTTGGTTTTTTAATATCAATTTAGATTTTCTATAAAATGATGTTCCAGGGCCCAACAGGTTATATAGCACAAATATGTGAAGTACACGGTACACCTGCAGTAAGAAAACAGTACAACAAAATGGCCGTTTTACACTTTTTTCTAGTAAATTCCTCTCTAATATATATTCTATTCTCTTTGCTTGTATCCAATACAAATATGGAGGAAAAGGGGGGGGGAGATACAACTAGGGGGAAGGGGGGGACAAAATGTTAAAATATTAGAGATGATAAATTTGTTTTAAACCCGCATGGGATATACTATGCTGTGCAAGGTAAATCAAAGTAAATTTTATTTTTATTGGGTTTATCTATGAAATATCTTAATATATAAAACTAGCAGAAGTGCCCGGCGTTGCCCGTGGAAAAAAATAAAAAAATGTTGAAAAAAAATTTGAAATATCTTAATATAGGAAATATCTTAATATATAAAATATCTTAAAATTTGAAATGTCTTAATCTATGAAATATCTTAAATTATGAAATATCTTAATATATGAAATATCTTAAATTATGAAATATCTTAATCTATGAAATATCTTTAGTTATGAAATATCTTAAAATTTGAAATATCTTAATATATGAAATATCTTAAAATTTGAAATATCTTAATATATGAAATATCTTAATCTATGAAATATCTTAAATTATGAAATATCTTAATATATGAAATATCTTAATCTATGAAATATCTTAAATTATGAAATATCTTAAT